CATCTTGTTTGCCAACACTTTTGAAATAATCTTGTATAAAAAATTACATAGAGCAATGGGTATAAACTGAGAGATGGACTCAGGTGCTGTCTCTTTAGGGATAAGGACCACACAACTAGAATACATTATGTCTCACAATATGCCAAAACCTATGGAAAAATATTCCTGGGAAGCCATCAAGCCCTGGGGCTTTAAGGGCACCAAGCTCATTAACAACTTTCTAGACTTCTGCCTTGGAGATAAATCTAAGCAACTCAAGATTCATATCCTCAGTTACCTTGCTTTCCACAGCCCTTAGTGCTTCAGACCAATTCCTTTCCCCAACTAAGTTGAACAAAGCCTGAAAATATTCACTGATATGATCCTTAATCTCTTCCTCTCCCTCGATCCAGTCACCACCTTCAGTTTTAAGCCTCAGAATCTGGTTACGATTTCTTCTCTTTATTGTAGTCATATGGAAAAATCTTGTTTTTTGGTCCCTATCTTTCAACCAATTAATTCTGGATCTCTGCATCCAGAACTTTTCCTCTCTACATCTATGGTTGTCAATCTGGGAGCATAATTCTGCCTCCCTAAAAAGGTTTTCTGCAGTGGGTTCATGTTGCTGGATATGAATTAGTTATTTCCCCAACTCTTATATGATCTTCTTGTTATTCCCAAACTTCTTTCTCCAACTGGACAGTCGTATCCTACACATGTCAAGATTAACAATGGCATTCTGCATCATTGATTCTGGGAATCTAGAGGTCCAGTTGTTCTTGATCACCTCTTCACACTTAGGGTCCTCCAACCACATGCTTTCAAACTTGAAACAGAATGGAGCCTTCTTAGTATTTAGGTTAAGATCAACGAGCACTGGACAGTGATGAGAGCCCATTCTAGCTTCATGAATCACCTGGGTAAAGGGGAAAAGGTCATTCCAGATGGGGTTAACCAGGACTCTGTCAAGACGTTCCTGCACATTAGCAGCCCCGGCCTATTATTAGACCAAGTAAATCTGGGGCCACTGAAGTTTAGTTCCATAAGCCCACACTTATAAATTAAATTTTGTATCTCTTATACTTTCCTTATGTTGTTAACAGAGCCACCTTCTTTCTCATTCAAAGCACCAATAACGTTAAAATCCCCAACAACAACCCAGAGTGTATCCATGCACCTAGCCATCAATTTCAGTCTCTCCCACACCCTCTTCCTTATCTCATACTTCGTATCAGCATAGATAAGCGTACATTGCCACCACTCTGGTTGATGGGGAAGGCTGTATCTAACGTTAATCATATTCTTGTTTGTTTCAACCACATGAAGGTTAAATCCATCTTTCCACCAGAGGGCAAGGCCACCTGAAATTCCCACAAGATCCGCGTACTCAGAGAACTTAAAATTCAATGATCTTCTCAACCGTTCCAACTTATGGGACTTGTTTTTAGTCTCCATAAGAAAAACGATTAGGGGACGAACGGTATTAATAAGCCCTCGCAAATTGCGGACTGTCCAGAGTCGTCCCACTCCGTGACAGTTCCAAGTGAGAATCAACATGAGTCGTGTGACTGTTTAAGGTCAGCCACCACCACCTTATCAGATTGACCAGTTGCATTACCCTTGTCTGATATCCTTCTGAAAGAATGAGCGATCCACTATGACATACATCAGTTGAGGTTATTCTTTCCTTTCCCTTCAATAAGATCATTATTCCCCTCTTCTTGGTCTTGTTGCATCTGTTCTTCTGCATTGTCCATATAAACAAAGTACAGTTCAGAGTGCATGGGTTCTCCAATGCTCACCTTCTTTTTTGGCTTGCTCCTCCTAGCCTATTTTCTAGCTGCATGGTTCCTCCCAAAGTTTACAAGGGACATATCAATAGCCAGTGGAGGGCCAGAATAAGAAAGGGAAAGGTGAGGAACACTTGGGCCGCTAGCCGAAAATGCCTCAAATCTTTTCCATGGCATTGAGTGGTTTCCATACTAGCATTTTCCAATTGGGCTTTCCTTTTAAGAGACATATTCTGGAAATGGATCTTCATATCATCACCCTTCTCATCTTCACTATTTGAAATAATATGGACCTCCCTTTCATTGATCTCTTGAGCTTCCAAACTGTCTGTGGGTTCGCACACATAATAGGAACCTTTTTTGACTGCAACTATTGTGTTTGGGTCTTCTTGGGAATCAGATAGGGACAGAGAGGGGGATTGGTCCCATTCCTGGTCCCCACCAGAATATGGCACCACTGAGAAAGGGGGGTGCATCGCCCTGGGATCCACTTTTTTGCTCAAGCATGGTACATACCTCACTCCTAGTTTGGGTCCTCGACACATCGTCGCACTGATCGTTAGGGGTGTCAAATGATTCCTCATTTGCCTTCCTACTCCCTTCTTGTCCCCTGCCTTTTGCCGGCTCTACATCCCCTCCTATCGCTTGTGCCTTTCCTTTAACTTTTTCCTTCTTCTCCAGCTCCTCACGTGGACCATGTTCAAACATCAAATCTTTAAGGTGATATAGTGGTTGATTAAGACATTTGGTAACTCAAATGTCTCAGATTCAACACTTTTTATATCCCTTAAGGATCAACCATTCTTATTCTTTAGGTAACATGTTTTAAATCCACTCGAGCTACAATGAACCGATATCCGAATTCGAAAGAATAGTCAATACAAACTTGAATACCCTTTAGTAAAAATAAAAAATAGGCTAACCATCTCCAAATACTAGACAATGGAATCAAAAGAATGGCTTCTAATTACATATAAACTACAAGTTAGCTGGGTTTAAAGCATCGTCGAAACTTGTATTACAACAACTAGAATCCTGCTTGTTACCTTCTGAAATTTATAAATTATATCTACCTTCATATAATTGTTCGATGTTTTTAATTTCATAGTATTATAATACTAATTTTCAATCGAAAGGATTCGTCGTAGGCTTTCGGGCGTTCCTAATGAGTATCATTATAAGAACAACCAAGAAAAGCTTACTTCATATAGCAATGTAAGAGGACCTTATAATCCTCTAGCTAATCTTCCATTCCTTTTTATTATTATTATTTTTTAATTTTTTTCATATATTACCTTATACTATTACTTTTAAACATCTTATCTCGCAACTCTTATATACAAGAGTTTTATTATTTTCAAGCTTATTTATTGATCACGAGTAATCCGTGTCTAAAGACACTGTGCAATATAAATAATTTTGAGAGGGATGTTAATGACCGTTGAATAAATTTATTTGAAATCGTCAGATGAACTTATTAAAATCTGATATATTTTATATTATAGATTATCTCTTTTCAACTCTCCACTTCCTATGTTATTTTAACACATCATCTTCCTCTCTCTAAATGGGTTAGTAGAGTAGGGTGAGTGGTTTTTTTTTTTTTTTTTTTGGGGGGGGGGGGGGGCGGGGGAGGGTTTGTTGAATGGGAGAGTAAATATTGAGTGTAATAGTTACATCATATCATGTGACGTAATTGTTTAATATAAATAAATAAATAAACCCCACTTTTTGAATATGTAATAATTACTATATTACTTAGCGGGGGTGGTTATTTGAAAAAGTGTGATTCATTTTGCTTAATTGATAAATTATCATTAGATGATTATACTACATAATAATATTGACATAATATAATTATTACACCAAATATTTACTCGTGAAATGGAACAATCATGTTATAAATCTCGAGTATCGCAGAGAGGCTTCGATAGTACCATCCTAATAAGAGGAGTATACTGTTTCTTTAATGCGAAAAATAAGACGATGGCCAGGGGGGTGACTGAATAAGACTTGTGAGGTAACGAGTCTCAATCCTAATATGGATTAACTATTGAAAATGAGACAATAGACAACAAAAGAAGAAGTGGCCAAACAAAACAAAGTTGAATTGGGCTCTCACAATCTCTCATTGTGCCTTTCGTTTGTGTTTCGTCAACTTCAACTACTAAATGTTTAGTGCCAGTCCGTCGGTGATCTTGACATTTTCAAGAAGCTGGAATACACTTCGTACCTAACAATTATCCCTTGATTGCTTGACCACTTACGTGATAAGCGTCTTTACAGGCGTACGCTAGATCACATAGAATGGAAGTAGGAGCTGGAGCGTAAAAATGTCAACAAAAAATTGAGAGTGAGAGCGTATTGAGAACGTCATATTATACAGGTATTAATGGGCCTTTGATCCAATAGTATTCTTTAACTTGTAAAAGTTTTGTCTTCTTAAAGTCATGGGTTCAAGTCCCCCTTCCCTCTCCCCCCAAAATTTTTTTTTTTTTTAAAAATAATATATATATATATATATATATATATACACACACACACATATACAGGCACACACATTCACCCATAAAAGTTTAATATAAATAAATTAAAAAAAAAAAAAAATTCACGCATAACTGTGAGACACTATTTAATTTTTAAATATATGTTGATTATAAAATCTTAAAATAACGATTATAGTTCACAAATATCATTTTAGTTTGATATGTATTCTTTAGATCTAGGTAACTACTTTACAAATAAAAATTTAAGTAATAATTAATAAACATATAAGTAAGTAAAAATACGAATTATGTAAAATAAGAGTGCGAATTCACGAAAAATTCGATCTCATAGTGCAAATTTATGTGCGGAAGCATGACAACTTGAAAAGTTTAGAAAGATTATGTGACTACAATAGGTCAGAGATTTGAATATCTTATGACGTGTTTACTCCTTTGGGACTACCGCCCATAAGTTTATCTTTTTTTGTATTGAGATGTGACTTTGCACAAAATTCAGCACTAATATGGTTAGTAAGTGAGATAACATACTGATGTGATCCACTAGAATAGCTGTATTACCCCCCCCCCCCCCTCCTTCCCCCCCCCCCCCCCCAAAAAAAAAAAAAAAACACACACACACACACACACATATATGGATTTTATTTAATATTTAATCAACCCCCTTATATAATAACTGGTTATACATGATATTGAAAAGAAATTAAATGATTATATATCGAAGAGATCAAAATCTGCAATCCGGGGTGTTAGTGACCATATTTTATTGGTAAATCCAACACAACCTTATGTCCCATCGTGTTAATCCTTCTTTATTATGATGTCACGAGTTGATACATCAATCGTAATTTCAAATAAATTAAATTATACACTGGTTCACATACCTAAAATCCAACAAGACTTTGGGCTGGTGCAACAACCACCCTGCAAGAAAAAAAGAGAGAAAACAATCATGACTTTCAAAGATCCACCCTAAAATGGAAAAACCTTCGCCCACTTGTTATATCATCATCGTTTTAGTTGGTGAAATTAAATGTCTTGTGGTGAGATATTAGGTACACACTTTACTTAATTTATCTGAAAGATACATTCTTCGATTTGCGTACGGGTGAAAACCCCACTTATAAATGTAACAAAAACTACTTGAATTCAACATGAGTGATGTATTATCAAGAGAAAAAACAAAAAAAAGTGTATTTAAGATGTGTGCCGAGACATCTACTTTCATCTCTGCATCTTAGGTCAATATTTTTTTTTTTTCTTTTTTGTTCAATAATCAAAGATGTCTATGTCAACTTATGCACACCTCGACAAATCTCCTCACCCGTCCGATCAAAGGCAAGTCATCCACACTAAGATTAAGATATTCATAAAAAAGTCGTCAAAATTCAAATTCAAGACGTCTGAATCTACGGCTCGTTTTTGTCACCACTTAAACTACCTTGGGGTTGGGTTAACATCATCACCATCTGTCTCTTCTTGGTTTTTATTATTTGGCTGAATAATGTGAAACTACCTTGGGGTTGGGTCAACATCATCACCATCTTTCTCTCTTGGTTTTATTATTTGGCTGAATAATGTGAAAGAGCACAATGGGAGGACATAAAAGCAGCCTCTTATACAAGTGAACCTCATGAAAAGAGAATCCCTTTATCAAAAAGCAAAGCTAGCATCACAGATGAGAGAGCTTGTTGGAAAGGCCTTGACCACCAGTCATCCTGAATAATAAAACACCAGAGATCAACTTCAACCACAGTAGTTAGGGCATACACCAGACCATAGCTTACTTAAAACACACAGTTATGTGACGATTCGTTCAGGTAAAAAATACAAGTTGACACTCTAAATCATGTCCACAGTCTTCGTAAGTATCCTGTCTGATATTACTCTTTCAATGTTTTCTCAAATTGTACCTCCAACTACAAGTTTTGATTTCTCATCAATCCAATTGTAGAAGTTGCTACAAATTGGATTGATAGTTTCGCTTTACACATTTATTATTTGATTTTGTTCTACTTTGCACCAAAATTTAGGAACACCTATAGACATGTTTGATTTTGATACAATGTGAAAAACGCAATCAAGCAAGTGCAGGGGAGCAATCTGAGAAATTAAATCATAAAAGGGCATGAAGTGAAGTCGCAATTATAATTTAGGGATTCAAAGCGTAATTAGGCCATACATTTATCAAAGTATCAGTAGCTGTCATCATCTACCCACAACCATCTTCTATTCAAACCAACAATGAAATCACACTTGCCATTAGTGTTTGCCTTCTCATCTAAAGCTTTTGCAAGTGGGCATTATATTTTAATCCAACAACACTAATTATAGCAAAGAAGCTCCCCAAGGGATGCAATTGACAGGGAAAAAGTGACAATATACAGTCTTTTAAGCACAAATGACCAATATCTAAATGCAACAACTCACAACATAATTCTAAATGGATGGCTTTCACAGACATCAACCATATACAACAATCTAGTATGCACTACTTTACCTACTTTTGAGATTAGCTTCATAAGGAAATTTCTAGTTGAAGTGACAAATAAAATAGGTCAGACCATCGTCTGCAACATAGTATACCATCGGACATAGGACTCCAATTTATTTCATGATGCTTGAGCAAATTAACACGATGTCCTTATGTCTGTCAATGGATATCCTTGGGAAAACATCTGGTATAATTTAATGTACAGATCATATCTCAGAAAACTGATTCCTAAGAAAAAAAAATTCACAGCCTTCGCTGAGGCTTTTGTTTGGCTGATAAGAGTTAAGTTCAACACAAATGCTTTGTTCTTTGCGGCCTGTCCTAATATAGAATATTGGTCTACTAAGAGTATTTTAAGCTGGAAGCTAAGCCAACTTTTGTGTCAGATGATGCAAGAATTTGACAAAGCTTATCTAGACCACAACCAAAATATGTCTCCAACCAAATAATTTTTAAGCCAACTAGGATAACTGATTCTTCCAAACTGTAGGCCTCCAGAAATTAATGAAAGACGAGCACCAGATTGGCTATCAGGTACCACTGGCACTGTGAAAGACGGAATTGGGGCAAGCAGATGAGGAAGAAGTCAACTAGATTGTTTAATTTGAGTAACAAAGACCAATTAGTAAAAATGCAGTTAAGCAGTGTGGGACTGGTTTATGTTGAGGGAACTGCAAGGAGGCAGGCCAAACATTAATGGAAACTAGAGACGTTTACAAACATGTAGGATTTTGTGATCAGATCAAATAATGTCTGTATAGATAATAGTGGGTGTGTGTGTGTGTGTGTGCGTGTGTGTGTGTGTGTGTGTTGGGGTGGGGTTGGGGGTGGGGGATAGAGACAGAGTTTTCAAAACTTTCAAAATGGTTTTCATTCATCGAAATGTTGCGCTCAGGATACAGGCAAAAAATATTGAACTCAGTCAATAGCAACATACCGATGTGGAGTGCAATGGTGTTGCCACCAGAATTCTACTTGCGAGTCATCAATATTCTTGTTACCAACGTGGAGACATGGCAATGTTGTTGCAACAGCATTCTACTTGCTAATCATCTATGTTCTTCATGTATTCCTTTGAAAGTTTGGTCTCCATCATCAGCTTTTGTTCTTTTTGAAGAGAATACCCTGACTCAAACAAAGCTTCCAGTGTTTGCTGTTCAACCAAATTCAACAGCCATTTTAATTGTGATCCAGCTATATAATAGGTAAAGAAAAATATTAGGGCAATCTATATAAAATAAAACTTGCATAGAAAACTTAAAATAGTCCTCATTAAAGAATACAATGAGCATGCTTTCCAATTTAACAAAACAATGCACATGTCAATCTGAGAAAATAACACCCAGTTTAGTCACCACTAATGGGTTTCCAGATGGCTAGATTGGTTACAAATCTAACCTTTGCCATCATTTTTTGTACAAAGTGGTTCTCCTCCTGTTCGAACTCACAACCTCAGGGTATTTAGTCTGAATTTTAACCACCGAACCTCAATGATGCACATGCTAATCTCTCTCCATAATATATAGTATGTCCATCAGCTACCAAGGTCTGAAGGTTTGATTTTGTTTACTCTAATTTATTTTCTGAACGATTTGAGATTAATCAGATTTATATTCCCATCAAGAGTATGATATTAATTTTGTAATGTTTACTCTTCTGTCTCTCCAATACACATACATTAGTCATAAAATGAGAAAATCCCCGAGTGAAATAAAAGTAAGCTTTGCAGAAACAGTAGAGAGATAAAAGAGACACATACAACCAAAAGAGTTTGAGATTCACAAATAGGTTCGTACAGGATATGATGGTAACAATAAACATCCAGTTTCAGTAGAGAGCCTATATTCATACATGTTTCAGAAAAACTTTGTAGAACATCAGGATTTAACCTTTCATGAATGACAGAATGAATCATCACTCTTGTGTATAAAACATGATCTCTGCCAGTCAAATTAACCGTGAGCCATTTCCTGTGAACTCAAAATCTTTTGATAAAACAGTTTTGCAACAGAAGCTACAAAAAGCCATATTAGGCTTAAGAACGTCACTCCTTTTTAATAAACAGAAGGCACGAAACGTTCTACTCAGATTTCACAGTTAAATTTCAGAAAAGCATTCCAGTTATACTTCACAGTTAAGTCTCACCAAGCCTCATACTTCCAGATTAATTACTTTATCATTTGGTAGGTTTTAGAGATTTTAAAAGCTAGTCTATATTCTATATCGTTTAATTTCTATGCATCTTTTATTTTCACTTCAGTGAAATTACGTCAAAAAAAATTTCCTTGGTGAATAAAACCTGCAATCAAGTTTGAGCTTTTATTGTAGACAAAGATTCACAAAAACAGTTGGTTTTAAAATACAGATAATACTTCCATAATTAAATGTACCACTACCTTCGGGAGAGTAAACACAGGAAGTTTTTCATCCTTTCTTCGCTTGAGAAGTCCATTTCCAAGATTTTCAATACCTCCAATATCATCGATCCACTACAACCAAAAGGGAATTGAACAATACACATTCTTTAGTATTGAGATCAACCCACGGATAAAGATAGGGCCATAACATAAGTCAAAATGATAGGTACCTTCAAGATTGATCGATCATAAGTTCTGGACCTGAGAGCTCCATAAAAATCCAAGGCTGCCAAAAAAAGTAGATATCTAATAAAACTGATAAATAAACACCCATCAGAGAAATTAAAATAAGAAAGAAAAGGGAATACAAACAATTGTTATTGCCTACATCTATCAAACTATCAAGAATTATGCATGAAAATTATGGTAACGTCCACTATTGTGCGATGAAGCCCTTGGCATTAACGACATTGATGTTGCCAATGACCAGGTGGAATGTGGATGCAACATCCTTGGCTTAATAACATTTCCCAATAGAGCAGATATAATTATAATCATGCCCAACTTAGAATACAAGAAACATTTTATGCAATGTACACTCAAACATAATTAAATGCAATCCGTGCAGTACATGTTAGAAAATTGACAGAGATGGGCTATCTTACTACCATTCAGAATTTTTGAGATATTAGATAATTAACCAAGTAACTATTAATTATGGAATGTAGAACACATAAGTACCTTGGTTAGGAAATGTGTTCACTATGCTTACGACCTCATCCCTTGAAATACCATCTTTCTCATACATTCTGTGGACAATATTTAGGATATCTTCAAGGTTAGGTTGCCTGTTCCACAAAGAATAATTCTAAGAAGGATGTGAAAGAACTCCAAGACCACATCAAATAAGAGAAGTAAATGTTATGGACTACAGATTGTCAGGGGATGAGGATGCTTGGAGGGGTGAATAGGGTACAAATGTACTTGTTGGCAGTATTTTTATATCAAGTAGAAAACTGCTTGGAGGAACGTCATTGCAACAGGATAGAGCTTTTGATCTTACATCTTCAGTCTATTTTCGCAACAATAAGATTTGACTATGCATTCTTAACTAACAAACACGGATACACGGATACAGATACGCGACACGGCTACAACACGACACCGACATGTGGACACAACATTCCTCAAAAAATGGCCGGATACGGAGACATCAGGGATATGCGTCTCACTATCTGAGATTTAGAACTGAAACTGAAACTGAAACTAAAGTTATAAGAAACATGAAGAAAACAATCTGAATAGGTTTTCAAAAATTAAAGGAGAGAAGGATGAGCTTTCTTGATGAAAGCTTTAAAGCCAGACACCTCTAGACTACAAGCTTGTGATCAAGAGAATGGTGGCAAGGTGTATTACTAATGCAAACTTCTTGTCCTTGGGAGAGAAGAAGAGATTGGTAATCAGTATGTAAACAAAATATAGGTCATTGAGAGTGGAAATAAATAGCATGTACCAGTAAATAAAACAAGTAGCATGTACCAGTAAAATTTTTCCATCCTTCCATCACGAATCAGAGGAGCATAGATTGTTGAAAAATCGTTTCCAGTGACAATTAGAGGAATCCTGTTTGTAACGTCTGATTCACGCCACTCTTGCCCAATACTAACTCTTGTGGGATTATCTGACAAATTCATCAGTGTCCCAACAACAATTTGATTGTTTACTGTCATTTGAGTGTTACCTGGATAAGAACAGCAGAATACATATCTGAACAAATTATTGAGAAAAATGAAACTAAGTGGACCGACATGCTGAAAGAAAGAATGATATCAAACAAACATGAGACCATTTTTTCCATCCAATTCAGATTTCCCAGTCTAATATAATTATATCTCACCAAATCTTCCAAGGCCAGCATCAATATCATTGATCATCAAACAGCTCATCTTCCCCTGTATTATATAAAATTGAAGTAAACGCAATTGCTAACCCAAAGTAGGAATTCAAAAACAGCAAATAGACAGATATTAGAAGGAGAATCTATTCATTGCCAGTGGAAAATGAAGACATGTAGATTGTCAACAATTTTTTCTAAAATCTATAATTTCCCTTGACATCATTAATTGCAAAATTTCATTGCAATTCATGTGAAAATTGGGACTTATTTCATCCCCAAAAATATGTAGTTTGGAATATCTCATCCCCAGAAGTGCCAACCTACCAAATATGGATGAGATCTTTTCATCTAACTACTTCAGGCAAGTAAACCAACAAGACCTTCTTGTTCTTTCTGCCAAAAACCAGGCACCCTTGATATGATGCATAAACGAGCTTGAGCGTGATGTGGTATAAAGGTCCCAGTGGGAGTTTAAATTTATTTTCTGTCTTTTCTCTCTGTAGGAACAAGTTATTATCTCTGTTAAGTGGACATTATTTATCATACTTACATATATTCACCCCCAATGGCTGCAGTTAATCTGCTAAACAAGCTGTGCAAAAACTTTGTACTACTACTTCAACAGTTTTCCAATATTTTGCTTTCTGCCAAAATCTCCAAGTACTTGGAAACCTCCTTTTCCAAGAATCAATCCTGAAGAGGAGCTAAGGCCACCATAGGTCAAAGTGATGATAGAATCTCCACTTCAGAAGTATGAAGTAGGCTACAGAGAATGTATGTTGGTTTTTATTCTGTTATATATTGATTCACCAGTGGATGTAAACCAGCCTGATTATGAATACAATCTTGGGTAACAAACAAATTTGGGTCTCATTAACAAATATCTAGCCAATAGTTCATACTATATAAGTTTTTCTCAAAGACCAAAATGACTTTTGAATGCGCCAAGTCCCACCTCTGGACTCTGGGCAACCACTCACCACTAAAAATGGGAATCAAAAAGCCTGAATCAGATATGTTCACAGAAATACTGTCATAGCTTCATGGTAGACATCCACTCAAGTTAAACCTCCAAGACAAATGGGGATTTTCATGTAACAAGTCCAATCAGCCAAAATGCAATCTTCTAACCCCGGCCCCAGGGCAGAAAAAAAAGGCTTGAATAGCATACCATTGTTTTATTTCTCACAAAATGCAAGCAGGAAATGTTCACATAGTTAAAAAGGAAGATTCATTTGGAGCCCATGAATATAAGTCAGAGCAATCAACATGGTAAAATCTCACAACCCTAGACATACATATATCAGTAGAGAATAGTAAAGCTTCTAACTTGGTTCTGCACCACTTGAGAAGCAATTCTGTACCGTTCCCGTATTAATTTTCCAGGTTCTCCTGTTAAAGGAAATATTCGTGTAAAAAAACTTCCAGCAAGTACGAGAAGAGGAAAAACTATATAAATAAAATCTTTGCTCAGAACAAATAAAAACTTAATTTATCTTATTTTTGGGAAGTAATACCATGTGGAGTTTTCAAGAGAAACATTTATAACTATAACAGCATAAAGTATTTAAGTGTTCCGAAAAAGGAATTAACAAACCAAGCAAGGTTCTACTTTATGCATAAAACATATATACCTTTTTCTGGCATTAATTTTCCGTAGAATCCCTCAGCCCATTAAGAGGTAAGGTTGCTGGAACAAGGTTGGAGTGATGGTGTAAAATTGAATCTTTCCAGTAAAAAAGGTGACCTCTTCTTGTGTCAGGTGTTTAAAAAGGACTAAAGTCTGACGATAAAGAATCTTGTCAGTCTATTAGATATTGGTTTGGTAATGGATTCTAAATTATATTATGGAAGGATTGAGAGTGCACGTATGGACATGTTGTGTAACTATTTATGTATCTGTTTTCCCAGGATAAAGATGTGGTGTCCAATGGAAGATTATAAGTGTCTTTGTTGTTCCAGTTAGACCTATGACCTTGAGGACAATTGATTACTGAAAAAAAATCTGCCCTCTAAGTTAATCTTTCCTTTCCTGCCTACATTAACCTACTACAGAAATTTTTCACTGAAGAAAATTCGGAGCCCTTGATTTCTTCCAAACAAAAATTTTGCATGGCCTTCAAATATGCATAGAATTTTTTTTTATTACAGATCAGTTTAACCTTAGAAATTAGACACTGGTGAACATATGAATCAAGGGCCATGTTGAGTATAGTTTTCTGTGTATACATAGTGACTATTTTTCAAGGGTTTGTTAAGTTGTTTATCAGTGAGTTTGACACCTCAGATATTTTAGCAAGACAGACATTGTGCTTCAAGTTCAACTACAAAGATTTAGCACCAAAGAAAGACTGCTTTAGAAACAATAACATTTAGATTCATTGTAAAGTGCAAGTTCATTTAACCAAGTCCGACTCCTCATATTTTCACTTCGTGCTGAAAGATTTCAGACCACATTTCCAACTGGTACTCCACAGTTATTGGGCTTAAAGAAGTCATTGACGTTGTTTCGTGATGAAACGCTGTATCAATACCTCTTGAGTTGGATGTTTTAACAATGGGTGGTGTATGCTTGTTTAGGTAACAACCATCCCTTTTCCAGGGGCTTTCCCCACCCCTGCACTGACCCTTACTAATAATTAACGGCTCATTGGGAGATAGATCATATGACTAGATAATACATAGGTAGAGCCAAAGAATGAGAACTATACAACTTACCAATAACATTGATTAAATAAAGTAAAGGCATCGGCGTACAAAGAAACCTCACTGTTTAAGAAGTAACCATAGGAACAGTAGAACCATGAATTGTCTTCTTACGAGTCACTATTCAGATAGATGAATCTTTTGAAAGAACTACAAGCGATCCTCTCTTGCTACCATATGACCCCCAGACGGTCAAAATAAAAAAGAAAGAAGATAATGAAAGGATAAGAGAACTTTTTTTGGTAACTTTCTAGGAATCGTACAGTAAGAACATGGCCACTTTCTAAACCGAAAAACTGAAAATTACATACATATGAAGATTGTAGAACAATAAGTATGTCATTTAGACACAAACTGTGGTGAAATTTTAATGCAATATCTCCTTAACTGAAACATGTGATCATCAGAACAATAGCTTCTCACCAGCTCTTTCTGATTCCAATTCCCCAGCTGACATAATCACAGGTTCAACTCCCATGACCTGGAAAATAAGTTCAGTTTGAAATGATTTCCCTTGTCCTTTTCCTCCCCAAATGCCTGCTAGACAGCATTTTAACTGTTAAACTAGTTTTTTTTATATACATAAAATAACGTTCAGAATAAATGGAAGCACACAAGGGGAAAATTACAACCTGCTCATGTAAGAATGCGTGCCTATGTCTCATCTAGATATGACCACAAACATCACATTTATGAGAGATGAAGAAGCACAACTAGATGAGAAAGCAATTGAAAGCCGTAATGAGTGAGTCATAAAGATAATTATTCTAGTATATGCTGATGAGTATGTACTAAATACTAAATATTTGGCAATAAAAAGAAAATATACACATAAAGAGACAAGAATTATAATTACTCATGCCTACTACTATTTTATCTGTATTACAAGCTCTTAGGTTGACCTTTGTAAATTCGATACAAATATTTACCTAGAATTAGAGGAACTTTGGTATTGAGAAGATGAGCAATGCAGTTCTTCACAATGTGGCATACTGCATAAATAGTAAACAACGAGTATAAAAATATGAGGCCTCAGAAAATTTAGTATAGCAGTTATACTTATTCACAATGTGGCACGCCATAAATAAGAAATACATAGCAAACAATATGAGCAATAAAGCTGGATGATGATACTATTTGGCAAATGTCAGAAAGCATGATAGCAGAATTCAACAGCAGACGTTCTAAACTATCATATGATATGCAAATATAATTGCACGAGGTAAAAATTAGCAAGCAACATACGTACTCAAACTCTGACAAGCATTAACATGTTAAAGAACTCGGAAGAATTAGGCAATTAGAGCGAGTAGCCATTGCAAGCAGCCAATCACTTTGTTTATCTGTGTTTCACTAATTAAAACTTAAAATATGCAAAGTAACAAGTAAGCAGGTGGCAGAAGAGAGATAAGGGTAAAAGACACAAGAAAGCACCTAAGAAGTGGATCCCCTGTTTCACAAATATACATTGAGCAATAACTTTTTCCCACAAAAGAGACGCAGAAAGAAAGACCGAAAATCCCAGAAAAGAAACTCGCAAATATTATTTTCACCAGAAAAATAGAAATATAGCAAGTGTGTTGTGATCGTGCAGCAATTATGGTGAATAGTAAGGAATCAAACAATTAAGAAAGCAGGAGAAAATAACACACAGAGATTTACGTGGTTCGGCAATGTGCCTACATCCACGAGAGCGAGCGGCTGTTCTTTTCCTTATTGAAGTAGGGTTACATCTTAAGTATTTATATAACCCTAATATGGACGTATTTACAAAAATACCCCTGTACCGTACCCTGGGGCGTTGCCCCCGCACCCCCAACTTATCAGCGTCCCCTATATATAAATCCCACAAGGCAGATGCCGTCACGGGCTCCGCTCCGGCATCTGCCTCCTTACCATTATGCACATAACGAAATATGAGCCACACATACTCTAACAAAGTGGCGATTGGTTTCACTTTTGCCAGCATTAAAACATTAAAAATAAAAACAAATTCACATCAGTCATAAACAAAGCAATGACAATGTTACGTTCATCTCTGGGGAGCAGCTTCATCATGATTCATCACACTTTACAGTGACTGGACTTACCAACTTTATCCTGTCAAATTAAAAGGACAAAAAAATTGAATAATGCAAGTTAATATCAGGAAGAAGCAGTTAACAAGACTGGGGATAAGTAAGTAACATAGAACTGTTTGGTACACAAATGCATCGGTGGCAAAAATTTGAGTAGCAGAATGAATGCACCAGTTGCAATTACTAGTTTCATATAAAAAATTCTCAAGGAAATGGACATTAAAGAACTCAACCACACAGGCTGACACCCAAAACACACGTTCGAAACACCTTCTCTTCAATTATCCTGAGGGGACAATACTGCACAGATTATGACACAACAGAGATGCACGTGATATGCGAGTATAGAAACACTGATACAATGTGGGAAGATGCATGATCATATTGAATGCCCAGCCCCTTCTGCAACAAAGATGGATGCAGTTGCACACGGAGGAAAGACAGTTTCCAATACGTCTCCGTTATTGCAGTTGCATACAGAGATCATTGTGTAATGTTCGAGGGAGAATCATCTCAAAGTGCACCTCATTACTTTAGTCATTAATAAGTTAAAGATTGAAAATCACCGTCTAAGACAAAGCAGATTAAAAAGAAAAAAAAAGTACAAATAATCAACAGTATTACCATGAACACAGGGGCGATGTAATAATCGCCTTGAAGGTACTCGAACGACCTGGTCACTTTTTGACGGTAATCAAACACAATATCCGCTGCAATAAAAGGCATAAAAAAAAAAAAAAGACATTCTCAATGAGGTTTCACAAAATTCACTTTTCGATATTACTCTCTTTACCCCTGCTAATATCATAAATCTAGCATTGGGTGGTGATGAAGAATATTATATACATATATAGCACAATCAAGCGAATTAGAGGACTAAGTGAACTGGAGTATCACACATTGAGTGATTCAATTTTTCTCCAGTTTCTTGGAAACCAAACAGAGGATATTGGAAGGCGAATTCGACTCACAGTCTCTACCGAGAAAATTGCCAGCGAAGACGTCGTCGATGACACCAGCCCTAGCTCCGACGGCAATGTTCATGTTGTCGGCCTCTTTACCAAGCCGGTAGAGATAATCTTTACCCTCCGAGTCTTTAGCTTCCCAAGACGACTGCTCCGAGAGTTTATTCTTCTTCTTCGATACATTCGACTCTGTAATGTCGTCTTTATTGTTGATATCTTCGTTTTGATTCGAGATTGAAAGTGAACTGAGAGAGAATGAAGAAGAAGAAACGGAGATTTTCTTGCTAAAGTTTGGGGATTTGGAGAATGAACAATATCGAGAGGAGAGAGATCTGTAATGGAGTTGAGAGTTGCTGAAATTGCAGAAGAGAGCCATTGTAGGTTGTGCCGATCTTGGGTCTTGAGCTATTGATTATATGGTGTGGGTGTATTGTTTGTGTTGTTGAACGTTATCGGACAGAGTCGGTTTGGGTATTTGGCGCCACATATATGACAAAAGCTCAATATTAACTCTTTCCTCCCCTGATTTTCCACTTTTTTGTCTACAAGCCACTGATATTTGATCCCAATACACGTCTTACTGCTGGAAGACTAATTCTATTGAGACCTCAAAATTTGACAAATTTATAATCATTAGATTATAACTAAGTTTTACTGTTTAATGACACCTATAGTTAATCTAAAAATTACAGTGAATTACGTTAATAAATTAAATTTTAATAACATTGCTCATAATGGAAAGCTCCATAAATCATTTGAAAAATCTTATTTTGTTATTCATCCAGACACTGAACTACGGAATGGTCAAAAAAAAATTCAGTACCATACTTTCAAAATTTTATACTTCAAATGGTATTTTTATAATTTTTTGTTGATCATTTTATAATCAAAAAATTTGTCATTTTTTTAGATATTTTTATCACTGTTATGGATATTTTTAATATATTTATGGTAACTATTTTTATCACTTTTTTAAGTACAAAAAAATTTATCACTTTTGTGAATATTTTTACCAATATTATGAGTATTTTTATTACATTTGTGGTAACTATTTTTACCACTTTTCTTAAGTACAAAATTTTTTATCACTTTTAGGGGTAATTTATCACATATATGAGTGTTTCACATTTATAAAAAAAAATTATCACTGTTGTAACAACTATTTTTACCATTTTTTTGGATATCACAACAATAATAAAATTAGGGGCGGCTCAATCCAATTTGAGGCTTAAAACGAAAATAATAAATAGAGGCTTTTTTATTTTTAGTATTATTTAAAAAAAAAAATTAATTTTCTATGTGATAGGGAGACAAAGGAAGAATGTTGTCGATAAAGAAATTTTAACTTTTAATTTTGTTTTTTACCACAGAGAGGGAAAAAATGTTTAATTTCAACTTTTGTATTTTTATTTTTTTTATCAGAGAGAGAGAGAATGGAGGGTAAGAATAAATATGAGTTGACTTTTAAGTATTTTTTATTTTTTTAATTTCTAAGTTTTTAATGTTATGAATTGGATTATAGACACAAATAATTGCAATAAAAAATTTGATTGGATTTAATTTTTTTCGTGGGTTAGTGATGTACCTAAAATTATGGGTCGGTCCCGAATAAAACTATCCACAAATTTAACAAAAGTTTCCATAAATATGATAAATTTTAGTATAATACCGAAATTTTAAATTTGGAAACCATAGTCATTGCAAGCAATAACACTTTCTAATCTTAAGTTATAAATGGAACAAGTTTAAGACATTTTTCTGACCTCGGTGGGGAGACTTGAGTCCTCTTTCTTCTGACGAAGTTGGGCTTATCTTAGAAAAGTATGTGCAACTTATTTAGAGTTCAATCTATAATATGTAGTTCGGTATTAGATCTCAATTTTATTTTTTTGGTACATCAGAAATATATATATTAAAATATTAAAAGGAATTTCTAGCAAAAACATCGTTAGTCATATTTGCTAACAAAAAATTAGCTAACTGGGGAGGGGATCCTCCAGCTCCACAAAAAATTATGACTGTTGGACACCAAGATTAGCCAACAAATCAGCACACTGATCGCCTTCTCTAAGTGTATAGATAATGGATATGTGATTGGTCTCCATGAGCATTCTACATTGCGAAATAACAACCTTGTTGGGGTGAGTGGCTTCCAGGTCCTTGGCCAAAAGCTTAGCAGCTTCGAGAAAATCAGTTTCCACAACGGTTGGGTGATGCTCCTCTTCTACACGAGCTTCAGACCTTTGAGTATTGCCCATAATTCAGCCTGCAAGCTTCTGGACTCCTCCATTTTTCCATAAAAGTCAGCAATCTACTTTCCTTGATCATTTTTGATAATTCCACCAACACCAGCAGGGCCAGGATTTCCTTTTGAGCATCCATCAGTGTTCAGCTTGTCTGGATCTCAGTTTTTGCCCTGATTTAAAATGCAATGTAATTTTCTCTTATTATTTTGTTCTTTGCTATTTATTTACCTTTCCGAGGGCAATGAGAGATGATGGTCATACTATAGGGGTCTAAGTGTAATTTTATATTCTTCTTATTTTTCCTAATTTATTTCTCTTTCGCTGCTGTGGGGGGTTTTAGAAGACGAAGAGGTTCGAAATGTCGAAATCCTGCAAGGGTCTCGCCGAGGAACTTGTCAAATGTCTTAGCGAATCGGACTGCGTTAAGGTACTTCTTTCTCTCTCTCTCTCTCTCTCTTTCTCACACTCACACACACACACACACACACACACACATAATCATGTCTGTGGGCTGCCTATTTAGTTGCATAATCTTAAATTTCATCACTTCGTATTGGATTCAGAGGAAAAGTATGTGGTCTTAATCTGTTTGCTGGATGTGTATGATTGTAATTGTTTAGTATTTCAAACCGGTCCTGAAGCATAACGACACGGCTGGTTAATGTCTAGGTCGAGAAGCGGACATATAGAGAATGCGCGAAAGAGAAGAGTCCTTCTGTATCGAGTGAATGTGTGGGACTAAGAGAAACATACTTCAATTGCAAGAGAGGCCAGGCATGTTTATTTTGCCCTTCAGTAATTCAGATAGCCCGTCGCTTTTTAAAAAAAAAATTGACAATCAATAATTACGTCAGTAATGTAATTGTTTGGGAGATATGATTTGCTTGAACTTGAATCAAATGGAAATTAGTATAATTAGTATTGGTATTTTGGTTATTATTGCCATTGATTCTAAATATGGTTATGGCGGCTGTAGGTGGAGAATCTATTTTTGTGTTTCTGTCATAACATGTAGTGGTATACAAGCTTGCGATCATTTGGTTCCATTTGGATCTCAAAAAAGTAGAGAAAGGGAAGAAAAGTCGTATAAAAATGTTTTAGGAAAGAAAACATTTTAAGCATTTTTCTTTCTTTATTTGCTTCTTTTGGTGTTTGGGATGGAGCTTTTAGTCTTTTGGCTTGAATTAGGGTAATCTGGAGGTTTTTTCACCAAATTTATGGGGAAATTGACTGGTATGACTGTGTGCTTGTTGTGGATCAAAAGCAATTGTATGTACACATAACTCTTTTTGTTTGTAAAGACATCTAATTGCCGTACTTTGCATTTCTTGAATAAGTTACTGATTCTACACTCGAAAGACTCAAGATGACCCAAACCAAAGCGATTTGGTGTAATATACAATACAACCATAGATGGGTGGCAGGTTTGTGCCAAAATTAGGTGGTTCATGTTGATTTTTGTAAAGCACAGGCTTTAGTGAGTTTGAAAAGGGATGAGATGGTACTTTATTGATTGAAGAATGTTCTGCCTTGTTGTTTCGATATCATGGAAGGTTAAAGCTCTACTTCAGACCCAAAATCATGAGTGGCCCTGACAGACGTAGTAACAGCAGTTTTTGAAGCTGCCACATTAACATTTTTCTTTGGAAAAAATAGAATTTGTCCATTCAGGCAATTATTAGCCTGGTTCTAATTGGTGGAAATTGTAATCACTCTACCCAAGAGTGCTGGTTCAATCCGGGTCATAATAGTAAGTATTTTTGTGGATTTAAGTGTGTGTGTGTGAGTATTTATTTCTCCCATGAAATCACCTTCTTCCAAAAATATTTTTGTTTATTTTCCAGAAATTAAAGATTTTTATTTATTTGACTCGAGCTTAAACATTCACTTTTTATAATTAAGCTCTGCCTACTCTCTCATTAGCATTGCTGAATTTAATGATCATTGTTTTTTATAAACTCTGTCGGTCTATCCTTACATTAGTTAACTGTTTGCCGAACCTCATTGGTGCCATGTCTTGACCAGCCTTGTTTGGGCTTACATGTGGATGAAACCCTATTCTAGACAGCTTAACCGTTGTTTTTTTACCTTCTCTTGTGTTCAATTCGAAGAGTTTCATAAGAGGCCAAGTTGTGGAGGTTGATGATCCCTCTAGGATTGCTCAAGCCATTGAGTGATGGTGGTGGGAACAAATGTTTGATCCATTTATTTGGGGATGTTTGACAAGTTATTCATGGGACTTACAATTGGACTCACGAGAACTGCCCTTATTCTGTAATGCTGCATATTGTTCTTAAAGTGTCTTTTCACTTTTGGAGAAGTCTTGGTTACTTTTTAAATCAGATATGTGCTTATAATCCTGGAAAAGGTGTAGATGTTAGGAGCAGTATTTGCTAAATGTGAGTAAGGTTCGTAATGGAAGTCTCTTCTGGTCGACCTTATACTATTCTCTCTAACATACTTCACCAGGTGTAATATTAGAATTCTGTTCACCTATCAATTTGGGCATAGTGCAATCGGTAACTATTGAGCAGACAGGAGCAGATAGGGTGCACACATTCCCTTTAGTCCTTAAGATGAATAAACCATAGCCCTTGCACTTTGTATAAAGTATACCGAAAATCAAATGTGTGCACTTGTGTATACTTGTAAAATTGAAATGTTGATCTAGCATTCTCAAAAAAATTCTTCTTAAGGTATATCTTTGATCCATCTAGGTCAACCTGGAAAACTGTATGGTGGTTTAATAAGATGCAAGAACCAATGAAATATTCCTTTTACGACCTGAATGTTATTGTGAAAATTTAGAATCCTGCATGAGAAGTTTTTTAGTAACGGTTATATCCTCTCCTAATTTTTCAGGTGGATATGAGAGCTCGAATCCGTGGAAATAAAGGCTACTAACTTGTGGAGAACTGCTTCACAAATTCTGGATCCAATCACACATAGGTTATTTTGACCACACCTAATGCATTGCACGTCTGGATTCAATTGCAGGCCGAATGTGCAGGCACTTTTTTGTGTGGGACTTATCTGCAGTTATCTTTCTGACCAAATTAATGTAGCATCTAGTTTTTTTATCACCAGTTCTGGATTTTGTACTTCTCTCATATTGTTTGGAAAAGAGATATTACCCCAAAGAACAAAGAATTCAGATTGTTGATATGGTTTTGTTGCCATGTTGTTGTTGCCCCAACACCATGTCAATTACCATTATGCAGAATTTTGCTGGACAACCTTCACCGTTGGGCTGATTAGTTTGTACAAGCCATCGTTCTCGTTTGGTGATGCAGCTTAGTTAAAAGGTTGGTTGCTCACAGTTTTGCTGACTACCTTCGTCCGTATGAATCTATGAAACTATTGAAATTGTGAATGTTGATGGACCGTTGCCTTACAATTGCTTCAAAGTTCAATTTTGTTGGACATGTTGATATTACGTACTAAATGCTGTGCTTGTCTCTCTAGAAGTTGGCTAATGTAGAGTTCTTGTATTTGGTCCTCTGATTTGAATAGAACATGAGAATCTTACGAAAATGCAGGGAAGGAAGGAACCAATCAATACGAATTTGGGGGTCATTCTATCGAGGGGAAAAAAATTATTGTTCAGGGCTCCCAAAAGTCATCACAGAATGCTATACAAATTGTACATATTTGGTATCCTTAAGGGCATGTTCAGTGGATGTGGAGATAGACATCAGCTGTAAATGCAGACAACTGAATTTAAAATTTGGTAGCTCTTTTGAGGGAGTTATTTCTCGTGAATTCTTTAGTCCCAACCATCATTCATGGTCACAGTATCGACCATTGAGTCGGAGGGTTTTGAGACACATCCGTCGTGGTGCGGTGTCGGGTAATATGACAAAAAAAAAATGTTGAACATGATGATAACGAGAGATTCAGGTCATATTATGGTGTCATAGAATAGTATCGACTGATTTGGTGATAATAACTTGGCGACTTGAGATTGATTTAGATACAACTAAGACCAAATTGTGCGAGACTCGAGTTTTATATGTATTGTTATATAGTATCGTCTCGTAGATTTCAGGTCCGTGGTTTATCCACCACTATATGGATTGTCTGGAGTAATACTGACCGAAAGTTGTTTGGGAATGGATTTTGGGAATGAATCCAAATCCAGTAAATTGATCGTAATTTTTCTAACATGACCCCCGAGGAATTTATGTAACTAAAGCAGAGAATATAGAGCATGATGTCCCAATTCCGTTAAAAATTTGAGGGCTTAATTGAGATAAATTTTAGTGTAGGGGCTGAATTGAAACAAGTCATATAGTTTAGGGGTCATTTTGGTGATTTACTTAGAATATATATCGACACCTTCAGAGTGGCGAGCTTCGGGTGATAGAAGTAGAACCCCATATTTGGGGTTTTTGTTTAGCCGCTGAGAAGGAACAACGAAGAAGAGAGAGAGAGAGAGAATGGTGAGGCTAACGGCGGACCTGATTTGGAAAAGTCCTCACTTTTTCAATGCCATTCGCGAGCGTGAATTAGATCTTCGAGGTTCGTTTGCCATAAACCCTAAAACACACACAAACAGTGTATGTTAATGATTCCGAACCCCAATTTGTTCGAAACGTCTATTTTGTAGAATTATATTAAGTAAAATCTAGCGTTTCGACTGCCCTAATGTGCAAAATGGTTCTGCATGTGTGCTTGTTTGCAGTGCTCAATTTTTTTTTTATGTTTTTACTTGTTTTTTTGTTAATGTTTCTGTTTATGTTGATTTTTATAGGCAATAAGATTCCTGTTATAGAGAATTTGGGTGCGACTGAGGTTAGTTTAGCTTCTATTTATAGTTTTTAGTCATTTAGATTCTTCTTTTTTTTTTTTGATAAATATTTTAAATCCTTAGTTTTTGTAGCAAGATACACTAATTTTTATGGGTTTTCAACCTCTAATTTTGTTGTTATATACACACATATATGTTTTGTTATTTGCAGGATCAATTTGACACCTTTGATTTGTCTGACAATGAGATAGTAAAGCTTGAAAACTTTCCCTATCTGAATCGACTGGGTACTTTGTTGTTAAACAACAATAGAATTACCCGAATCAATCCCAACATTGGAGGTAAGAGCATCGGATAATTTGAAATTTCCTTTTTTTTTCATTATAAATTCCGTAAATTTCTTGTTGTAGAGTGTTCTTGACAAGTTCTCTGGTTATTTTTGCAGAGTTTTTGCCAAAACTGCACAGTCTGGTTCTTACCAATAATAGACTCACTAACTTGGTTGAAATTGATCCGCTTGCATCGCTTCCAAAGCTCCAGTTCCTTAGCCTAATGGATAATAATATCACAAAAAAACCCAACTATCGCTTGTATGTCATCCACAAGTTGAAATCCTTGCGCATGCTAGATTTCCGGAAAGTGAAACAGAAGGTTAGTCTGCTGTTACCATTCACTTGTATTTTGTGGTGAGTGGGATTGGGGGTGTAAGATCTCTCCCAGCTATATACGTATGTTAGGAAACACTGGATCCATCGTGATATCAGTGTTGACCTAGTTTTGTTAGAGCTTGTGCAATATGAAAAAATAGATTCGTTTTCTTAAGCATGTTAAGGATCATGCAGATCATGTCTTAGTTATGTGCATGACAACTTTTCAGTTGCATTCAAGTTCCCGACATCCTTGAAATTGGGTGTTTTTTTGTTTCTTTTCAAGTTAACTACCTTGAAATTGGGCTGTGCGTCAGGCATGGGGTTTAACTTCATGTTGGCCCAGAAATGGCATCAGAATCCTTTTAGCAATCGAACATGGAGGAGGGTATGCTAGAAGCATGAAGCAGGAATGGGTGCAAAAGTAGGTTGGGCATGCAACACAGGTAGGACTAGCTCTCATAAGGCCGGGTGACATTCGTACATGAACGTGTGCACTCACACACTTTAAGGTGTGCCACCATCAAATCCAATAACTTTTTGGAAAAACATCATTTACAATAAAAGAATGATTACCATTTAACAGCACAGTCAAAGTTATTTATAAAGAAGGGTTAGCTGTTAGCCTAGATATTTATAAATCTGTTTGCTTTAAATATAAAAAATTACATGAGGAGGATATTGCATTTGTTTACTTAGAACTTAGAACTTAGAACTTAGAACTGATAATAGACTGGTGGATTGGTGGAAAGTGGAGCAAAAATGCAGAAGAGCATGGTAAAAATACAAATTTGTGGTTGCAACCTGAGAGTGCCACTATTAATGGGGGAAACATCTGTCCAAGTTTGAATCTTCATTGTGGTGACTGCATGAACAAAATGCCACCACCACCTTCCTGGTTCCGACTGCATAAGTCAGATTTATAAGCAAGGTTCAAAGTGTCAGCCGATATCGATACGAGTCGACTGTCGGCACCTTCCAAGTCGATACTTTACATGTCACGTGTAAACCAAGAGTTTCATATGATTCAGCCGAGTCGTCTCCAAGTCGTTGAATTATTGTCACTGAATCATTGATTTGCCACAATATGACATGAATCTCTCACCATGTACAACTTCTGCTTTTAGGTCATATCACCCGAAAGTGCGGTATGTTAATACATCCATCATATTTATTCGTCCATTTTTTTTTTAGTTATCTTTTTTTTTTCTTTGTAGTTTGCTTCAGTCTAAGGATCATACAACTTGTGCTTTGTCTGTGGATGCTTTGTGATGCATACCCTTGAATGTAGCTCCATACTTAATTTCCATGGTGCTTACAGCCATTGAAATCTTCTTTTTACCTCCATTGTTTTGTATGTCAGTTCTGCCTTTTCCTTTCCTGTCCTTGATTTGTTTGTGACATTGCTGTAGTGGTTCCCCTCAATTATTGTAAATGATTGTGTTACCAAACATAACGATTTTGTTGATGATAGGAGCAAATGGAGGCTGATAGCCTATTTGCATCACAAAAAGCTGAAGAGGAGGCTAAAAAGGAATCTGCGAAGACATTTGTGCCCGGAGAGATTACGAGCACCCCAGAGGTTTCAACAGAAGAGCAAACACCTAAAGTTGTTGCCCCTACCCCAGAGCAAATTATAGCTATCAAGGTATTGTGGTCATGTTACTGTTTTTCTTTCTTTCCTTTTTTGTTTCTCCCTTTTCTTCCTTATAATCTAATATTTTAACAACTCGGAGCATAACTCTAAGAGTGGAGAGCTAGAGGCTTCATAATTGTTGGAATGAGACCAGTTATGTTTGCCATTGTTAAAGAATCCAAACAACTTACCACTATGAGTTCTCTTGTTCTTTAAGATAATTATAATCACTGGGTATAGGTATGAGTCAAGGTTTTGCCATTTGTAAATATAGCTTCATCACAAAATTAATCAAGTTAGATTTTATTTTCCCTATGTCATTTGCTGACTTCATGTTCACCACCGTGCTTTGTTTCCCCACATTTTTCTTCTTTTTACAAGCACTTTCTGTACTGTTTGGATTGATATACACAATGTGTGCAGGCTGCAATTGTGAATTCCCAAACCCTTGAGGAGGTGGCAAGGCTTGAACAGGTGATCCCTTTTTACAGTCCAAATGGGTCTGAAAATGTTTTCCGAATTTTAAATTTGTATTTATGTTCCCTTTGCATTCTCTCACCAGGCTTTTTAGGATGGCCTTTTAGAAAAAATTAAAAACCTTTCTTTTGTTTCTGATGTTGTATCTTATATTTGTTGCTGTTCATAATGTTGACATTCTGATGGCATTATTGGTGGTATGAATTGTGTGGAATAGGCGTTGAAGTCGGGCCAGCTTCCTGCAGATCTGAATATTGATAATGATGCCAAAACCGACAATGAAAATGCTGAAGAGGACCAAATGGTCACAGATGGGGACCAAACGGTCACAGATGGCAAAAAAGAACCTAATGACGGACTGGGAGATGCCAAACTTGGACAGAAGAATGATGATCCTGCAGAAATGGAGCAGGTATTATTAATATTTGAACGTATTATACTCGCACAACTTTTCTCTTACATAGGTTTTGTATGCGCTTACAGTAGAAGGCTCTTCATTTTTGTCCTGCTGCATTTATTTCTAGGCAAGGTTAACTAAGATGATTCAAGGATGACGCAATTTGTTGATCAAATTAAAGATCAGTTATAGCTGCCACATTAGCTACAAACATCTTTTCTTATTGCTAGAAATGTCTTAGAAACTGCTGAAATGCTGCAACACTATCAACCTGAATGCTGCTAATTTATTATTATTATTATTATTTTTGAAAAAAAATACTTCTAATGAAAAAAAAGGACTTAGTATGGAAGAGGTGAACAGCTAGACACTCATGAAGCTCAAGTAGAAATTGTCACCTATTATTGGGCATCCATATAAATTTCAACTTTCTTTCAAGTTCTTGGGCAAATACATCGAAGTATGAATACGACTCTTCTCATACTTTGCGAATGACAGGTGTACAAGGTTTTATATTTTCACAAATCATGCATTGCTTGTGTGACAGAGTTGAGTGACACATTATGTTGGCCCGTCTTTCGTGGACGTGGCTATCCTCTGATTCAGCAACCACACACAATTTATCTGTTTCGTTGTCTGATGGTGAGATTCGGGACATCTTTTCCCTGTCTCTACCTGCATTGTCATGCAATTGTGCAGTGGTCTGGGTGCAGGACAAAAACATGTTACTTGGGATTTTGGGTTGAGGACGGGGATGAGCCAATTATGATAGAGGTTATAATGGCCAGGACAATTTGCATTTTCTCATCCCTGTAATTATGTGGACGTTGCCTGCCTCTCTTTTACAGATCTAATAATGGACAAACATGCATAAACACAAAATGGAATTTTGGATCAGTAAAAACTATTGCATTTGTCAGTTGCCTGCTCTTACTCTTTGTCCTCCATTTCGGGGAAGGGCATGTGCAAGCTCATTGCTCTGTTGTTCATGAAGTAGTTGCATCAGACTATGCCATCAAAATGGCCATAAGATTAATGTTTCTTGCTTCTTATCGTGTATCCTTTTTCTACCTTTTCCATCCTTTTCTTGTCTCTAATTGTTTTACGTTTTTGAACTTTCAGGAATAGAGTCTTTTCCTGCCATGGTATGAGATTAACCATGATCATGACTGTTCCTTGGCTATTCCTAAGCGAAGAGCTTCACTTGTCCAAGTAATCGAGTTAGTTTATTTATGTAGTGAAGCTGTTTTTGTCGAATGTATCATTAGAATCAATTTATCATTTTATACTTTACACAAACAAATGGATTGAAGAGGCTTAGTTTTACATGACTACCCATGCTTGTTTGTTCAAATTGTCAGGTGCTTTTCCGTTTGTAGATGGAAGTATGGTAAGAATCTGTTTTCCAATGGCCATGTCCGTGTGGTTATTGGAGGTGCCAGTGTGAAAGTGTTCATGTTGAAATACTATGACAGATAATATGCTCACCTACGAGTCGATTATTCACTTTTCTTGAATTACCTACTTGCCTACTTCATTCATTATCTTGATGCATACACGAATGAATGTGGGGCACTTCCCGGCTTGGTTTAACATGCAGCAGCTAAAACTATAATAGCTCATAGACAAATGAGAGACATTGTGGTAATCTTTCTTTTTTTTTTTCAACAATCAAGAATGTTCAAATTAATTTATGTACATTTCAATTAATTTTCTCTTCTATCCGATCAAAGACAAATTATTTACATCAAGATTGAGATATTCATGAAAAATAAAATTTCTCATGATTTAATTCTAAAAGATTGTCGAGATTGGAACATTTTCATTGGGTACTTTTCTATGGTCACACACTATTTAATTAACCTTTCTTGCGAAGTCATCTCCAAAGCCAAAGGTATTATTTTGAGGTACATCAGTGTACATTACAATCACAATGAACAATTGACTATTACAATTTAGAACAATGTGTCTATAGACAAGAAGCTTGAATTGTGACCAATACAAACAATCAAGCTACAGCCTACCATCATATACTAACCTTTTCAAAACTCGAGTAACAACTTAAAACACCAAAATCTACAAGGAATGTAAACTTCAATCCAATTTTTTGTAATCTGAACCTACGTAAATTTCTTTAGACAACTCCCTAGGCAGGGCAACAATTTAAATTACTGGCATAGTTTTTCAGAGGCAATTTAATCATGCTCGCAGCAAATAGAGCCGTGAGGCTCATGACATGAAAAGCTCAACAACTCTGATATGAATCAACTTGACTCCAAAGTGTCTCAGCATAAGCCTTGTCTTCTTCCTTCTCCTCCACGACGTAGTTAGTTGTCTCCAATACTTCCTCTTCTTCCTCTGTGATCTCATCTTCCATCAATTCTCCTGCATCAGCTGCAGTTAGATATTTCTCCATCTCTTGCTTAGTAAGTTCAGCAACCGCCTCTCTCATGGCCTGTGCTGTTGCTGGTCTATCTGTTGGTCTGTATTTCGGGGCAGGCATGACAAATGGCAAAACAATATCATCCAAGTTTGTATTTTTGGGTTTGGGGCAACCCTTTCTGTCTGATGGGGGAACAATGAAAACAATACCAAGTTCATAGTTACAGATATGAAGTCTGGAACCTAACACAGAATTCAATCTCACAGCTCCGTTGGCCTTTGTCTCAAGTGAATCAGATAATGGACGTCCCCAAGCAGCCGCACTGAAGTTATGTGACCCACAATAGGCCCATCCAAAGGATGAAGCATCTGTCTTAGACTGGAAGCGTCTTCGTGCAACCTGCTTATGACATACATTTTCTTTTATGACTTTCACTTCAAGCTAATCAAAATGCAATTAAAAATTCGTAGTATAACAGCAATTGCAGAAACCACAAGGGAGGATAGCAGAAAGCAACATTCCAACATTTGTCCAACCTTGGTGACCTGTGTTACAAGATGTGAGTATCTTCGCCGGTCTTTCAAGCAGCAAAACTCTCATCTAAATCCAATTTGGTCAAAGGAAGGGCTGAGAAAAAGATGAGGAAAATGACATGGGTGATTGGTGATGGCAGAAAGTGGACCATACCACAGAGAAGATAGACAGGAGACCAGCACTAATGATGTAAGACCTGAGGGATGCAGGTTTAGTTCAAGATGCCAAGGATTCGCCCTAGGCTTGCTTGTGCAAAATTGGGAAACTCAAAAGCAAGCATGCCAGCTTCTCATCTTGTTTATTTTAGTGACAATTTGAATTGAACAAGTAAAAAGGTTTCCTCAAAGCCAGGAAGTTTGAGGCAGCATACTTGTCAGTTTTCTCTTGGTTATCCCCGTGATGAGTTGATCAAGCAGATTTAGCCCTTAGATTGCAATTACAATCTGCCATACAGTTTTATAAGTTGGAGATGACAAAGTTGAGAGATTGTCGGCCATGTACTGCATGAAGAGGACGATCATCTTTCAGACAATCATCATCAGATCAATGGGAAAGATTCCATTGACATTATTATGTTCTCAATCAACAGTTTGTCAGCAGAAGGGGGCATAGATTGTTTAGAGTAGAATTTTCTCGTCTGTTCGATTCTGACTTCTTCCTCGTCAGTACTTCAAGCCAAAAGCAATGTGGAATCAAGTTGTACACCACTTTCAGACTGAAATCTACTAGTTGAATGTCAAAAAGTGGAGCACACAGCACCAAGCTACCTTCCCCTCCACGATCATAGAAAAGTTGAGAAGGATTTAAAGACTCCTTGTTGAGCAGTTAAATACCATTTTGATCAACTTGTAGACTACATACTCTCCTAAAGAAGAGGGACATCTTGAAACTTTGCACATTATGAACAGTAAAAAGAGTTTCTAGATGAAAGAAATAAGATTTTGAAGAATGTTCAAGGATACCAATGAGAGTGGATTCTATCAAGGAGTTTCCAGACCCCATAAGAAAAAGAGTTTCCAGAAGTTGAATGCTTTGCATAGGTTATATATTGTCATTTAATTGTTTAACTCCTTTTTAATCTGTCAACAAAATTTGTTTAAATCCATGCCATACATTATATTGTGGTGGAAGCACAATCACATCTAAATTATCTCCTCATTCACAGGTCACTTCCACATAGAGAGGGATCCTAATGCTTTAGAATTATGTGAAAAAGGAGGGAAAGTAATTTTGCTTTAGTCCTTTCACAGGCATTCTTATAACTAGATGCCCTGTACACACGATTATCCGCTTGAAGAGAAAATTAGGCAAGTGAATATGGTTAAATACGGAGTTGGGTGATTATTAGAAAAGAAATTAATGGTAATACTAACATTTCATGGGTGTTATTTTGAAAGAAATTAAGGGTATTATGGGCATTTTAGGAGTGGACATCAATTGCCTCCTCTCCTTTTATTAATAGTATAGATTTAAAAAGAGTGGGGCTGAGTTTTCATTTACTATTTTTCTACCATTCTGTTAGGTCAAGGTGCAAAACTGCATATGTATCAAGAGTTTGTTTTGGATTCCTTCCACTCACACACACACACACAAAAGATATGGAGAATGTGACGACAAGTTCGAACTATAGGTTTAAATTTTGGTACATTGGTACAACCCCTTAACCCAGTAACCCCCAAATAATATCTCCATTGACCATTCAGTAGATAAACTCCTCTTCCTTAATATATTTTGATAATTGAAAATCCATAACAACATTCTAGCAATCAGATAGAGATTCTATTACCTTGACATGCATAGGATACCCAACTCTGTCATAAGGATAAGGAATTGCATCATGAAGTATGCCTATATTTCTCACCTTTTGCCATGTTTTCTGTAAAAAACAAAAATGTCGAGTAAATTTTGATTTGTTCAAAGGTAACTGATAATCAAAAAACAAGCCACCAATTATGGTAAAAGACTAAATTAGCATATATACATTAGCATCCTTTTGTTAACTGATACAGAGAAGGGGTAAAAATCATAGATCGAAGCCATAAGCCGACTAGTACTCAATAAATCGATACCACATACATAAAAAACCATGCTATTAACAGTAAGGCTACACAAACTTTGATTTCTATCCAAGAAACATTGTTGAACACATATTACTTCTTTGTTCCATCCACTTTGATAATCCTTGAATCAATATAGATATGTTCTAAGTTCAAATATATCATATTCTAGCTAGGTGCAATAATTACAACCTGAAATCTATCGGTGCTAATCTAACACTAGTGGATGCTACCCGACCAGTGTATCCTCTTATTTAACCTTACTTAGGGACAAACTATTGCTTGAATTCTTGGCTCAATCATTAGGCAGTTGTAACAAACCAGGTCCTAGTATCCCATAACTTGGCTTCAGCGCACCTGATTAACAAAATACATGTTACATGGTAGCCATGTAACACAGAATTCATTCCATCAGTCTTTAAGTTAATGAGAAGGACAAGATACCTGTGAGAAGCACAATAGGCGTCTTGAAGCCAAAATTCCAGAACTTGCCATTTTTACTCTTTCAATTGTGGGGTAAATGATTCCAATAGACGGATTTCTTAACTCTTGGCTTGCACTCCAGCAGCCCCACTGTAAAGACCATTACCGAAATACTGAATCGCATTGTCAGTAGTCAAAAGTGCTACAGAAATTAAAGATTGCTAAGTTTTCTTACATCAGGATCTGACTCTTCAGATTCAGAGAACTGCAATGATCGCTTTCCAGCTGCTGCAGAAAATGCAGCCAAAAATGGTGCACTAACTGACCCTATTGAGGATGAACCTAAACAATAGACAGATAGCAGAAGCCAAATTACCAAATAAATCTTAACAAATTAATGTGGAAATCCAGGATTTAGAAAAACACTCACCGTATACGAAATCAGTTTCTAAATGTTCAGGCCATTTGTAGTGACCCAACACCTAAGACAAAACAAAAGAAGCATAATATAACATCAGACTTCTGATTAATGACGTAATAACACTATTGTTTCACCAAAGACAGAAACATGCTACTCGATTTGGTGACCTGCATGAATAGCTACAATAGTTACTAGATCATATGGCTACTACTCAAACAAATTTGCTCATCTTACACTTGTAAATAGTGAAGCTATCCAGGCAGGTCATCTCAAAGGACATTCTAAGCAATAAATCTAAAAGAGAATTATGGAAAAGACAAAAGAAATGTGTACAAATGTGGAGAAGAACTTCTAAGAGCAAATAATCAACATGTATAAACTGACTAGCACTACCGTTGGAATCTACAATCCCGCCTATTTCACCACTATTACCTCTTGAAGCCTCCAGAGGCCTGAACACCTCCGAATTGAAGCCACTAGTGAGCACAGTGCAGAAACATGTTCAGTTTGCATTATTGCTGATAGATCTGAAAAGTTAGGTCCCTGCACAAGACAACGCCGTTGCTTGATAAAAGGACACCCCAAACTTAGCATGAATATGCTCTCATTTAACAAAGAAAGCAATAAACTATGAATTATTTTAAAGAGATCCAGTTAGGCTCAAAAACCCTGCCTGTGACACATAGAGTATCAGCCGCACTTTGTTGTTGCTTCCTTCGACAGTGGTTGCAAGGACTTCTCTTGGATAAATATATGCAGAAAACGCAAATAAACCAATATCTGACAATGGGGCAACCCACTTTGCAACATTTTTTGGTAGAAACCCAAGCTGAACACAATCTAGTCCAAAAAATGAAGCAAATGTTAGTATCGAAATCGTGGAATATAAGCATGTAGCCCAAAACATACACATCCATAGGGCAAAAAGGGGGGGAATCTGTCTATGCCTGCAATGATATAGTCATCTATCAAAACAGTACATAAGAAAGGGTCATAAAGGTCATCGCTCCTAGATATATCTTTATAATTAGTCTCCATAGATGGATATGTAATCAAATTCTTTCATTGAATGCATTTCTGGATTTCAAATATGCATGTAGCCAAGCCTTAACCCAAACAACTTGGAGTTCATCAATGCAACTTCAGTCCAACTAAACTTCAATATAGTGAAAAATAACAATGAAATTGAAAAAAATGAGTGAATATGCATATTAGCAATGTCAAAAATACCTCCTTCAGTAAACTCTTCTGGGTTAGGAATAAGAATGCTCACAGCATTCACATCAGCTGGTATATTTGTATTTCTCCTTAAGATAATCTCCAACATCCCATATGCATTCCCATGGCACTTTCCAAGGAAAGCAGCCAGTTTCTTTAGCTGTGCTCCATTTGAATCTGCTGAAGGTCGAAAAAGGTGGCCTAAACCAACTACAGATGCTTCAACAGAGCCTAGTAACTGCACAACATGAGACTGTTGCATACGCGGGCTTACCTGAAATGGGAGTAGAATAGTGCACTTTGAGCCTCCATTCATCAAGCACAAAAGTGCTAATAAGAACCAGATCATAGTCAATCCCTCACCACAATTATTTTGTATTAAAAGATGCCCTTCATTAGAAAAAAGAGAAAAGATACATGGAGTATCAAAACCAGTATCATCCTAGCCAAAAATAATAAAGTGAGGAAAAAACACGAGATCAAGCAGCCCAATAGAAAGACCCACAACTACAATTTGGCAGTTGACCCAAGTAGTTGAGACAAGATTTTGATGTCTTAGCTTAATCAAGCACTAGAAGAGGATGGAAATGGCCACTATACCCTCGTTCCAAACATAGGAATTCCAATTTTTGGCCAAAATGCAAGCTTTGGGGAGAGGATCCTAACCAGCCATACAAAGCTATGACTAAAAGATACAGAGGATCTGTTTCAAACCTACTCATTTATATTGAATTTTAACACCAACATCTTCTAAAGCCACTTCACAAATAGAAAATGACAGATTTAAACGTCCAAATTGTATGTAACGATAATATAATAAGGACACTGTAAGGCTGTGTTGCCTGTTGCAGCAGCTTTGCTGTCAAGCCAAAGAAAACAACACACACAGTTTAAGTGAAGATACATACAGTTAAAGAATGCACAAACTCCGATATATAAGGAGTTCTCTGAGAATAAATTCCAGGTACGGAAGCAACCAGATGTCCAAGAGCCCCCTTAAAGTCATACTTAGTCAACTCTAGGATCCAATGGGCCTGACTAGGTACATCAGCTACTAAAGATGCCATAAATCCAGCCAGCTGAGCAGCAAAATCAGATTTAGAACTTTGATTTGTTTCCCCTTCCACATCAGGTGATTGGGAAAAAAGAGATAAAAAATCAGGTGCACTCGCGCGAGGAAAATCTTGCCACCAAACTGTATTGGTCACGCTACACCACTACAAGATTTGGAAAGGCAAATAAGAAACAACATTATCTCCTGTAAATTATATTTACACTCATTTCCATGTTAAATGTTCTAAAAAGAAGTTTAACAAATCCTAAATTTAATTCAAAGTGCTATATGACAAATTAACATATCCACATAAAAATCCTTGCAGAAAAAAAATAAACATATGTTTGTTTACTACAAATGATATAAGCTATAAAAATTACTATTCTGCTCCGCCCACATGGTTTTCTAGCCATGTGGTGCCACATGTTATACATGAGCAATGCTCAAATAACCTGTTAAACAACTATCTATTCCAAAAAACTATCTACTCCAAAAACCTAAAGCTATGGGTGGTGTAATTTTAGTATTTATACTTCAATACGCCCCCTCACGTGTAGGCTAGATTTTGGGCCTAACAAGTGAATTTTTTTTTAATAATTAGGGTGACGGCAAAATTTGAACACAGGATCTCCTGCTTTGATACCTTGTTAAACAATCATCTACTCCAAAAGCCTAGGTTGTTGGAGAGAATGTAATTTATTTATACTTCAACAATCAACAAAGATGTGGGAGTACAGAGGGAACAAGAGAGCAAAGAGCTACCGAGAAAACTAAGAGTATAATATAACAGAAGCCAATAACACTGTTGGTTTTAAACAAAGTCATTATATCATTTGGCCCCATCGACAATGGTGCTAGGAGGGGTGGCCAGACCGCCAGAGTATAAGCCATTAAGCCCAACCTTTGACATTATTTGCACAAAGTGACTGACCCACAGTATATTGCATAGTGATAACTTCACAATTTTTGTAAATTCCTCCCCCCTCTCTGCCCTTTCTGGCTGATCTCTATCCTTGTATTGTTATGAAATCTTTGAAATTCCTTATCAATTTCCAAATGCTCTTAACAATATCAATGCTTGTATTTTTTATTTTTAATAACCAAAAAAGGCATGCCACATAGCTGAAGACCAGGATAAACCAATTGAAGGCCTCAGATCAATAAAGAGGATTTTGTCATGTTAGGTGCACATTCAGTTTTCAAAAGTGAAAAAGATCAGGCTTCTAAATATTCTTCAAATCTTGCATATAAGTCGTCCAACTTTCTTTGATAGACACTATTGTATAACGCCAATGGCCACAAGAATTAGCAATGTAATTTACAAATAGAATGACGGTGGCTTTCATAGTCTCCCTGCTTCTAAAAGAAAAGAAAGAGACCTAAGTTCTAATGATTACTGATTCTTATGACTAGAACAAGTGGTTTAGACGAGACGAATCACAAGAAAAAACCAATGATAGCATGCCAAGGATAAATAGAATAAATCCCGATTGGGCTGATTACATAAAAAAATAGGCATGAGAAAAGTTAAAGACATTTGAGTTGGCTGTGGTTGAAAAAAGGGAGGCATAATCCAAACTCATTGCAACTCCTGAAGTCCCAAGTAAAAAATAGATATTCAGCAACATCACTAATATAAAAGCCACAAATTAATTGTATTATTTATCTCAGAATTCAATATTAACCACAAGTAACAGAAAAGATTCTTCTCAATTGTTTACATACTGTTTCAATCAGAAAGATTCAGCAACAACTAATCACCTGTCTTGCCACTAAATTTGCAGAGGTGATAACAACACGGATACTATCTTCTTTCTGCAATACAAGCAATTTTGGATGATGGCAAGCAATGCCTAATCTCTTGCGGTCTTTACCAAAGGCTATAACCTCAGGAAATGGAGGATACCTATTACAACAGATTGACAATATTACAAAACAATTGATAATTCACGAACTTCAGCAGCGTCCACAAGTAATATGGAACCTTTTTCTCTTCTGAAGAATATCAACCTCAAAATTGTAACTTATCCTTCTGCTGAATACCAAGCTCAAAAAACATTAACTTACACCAGAACTAAGTTTGGGAAATATGAAAAAGGCACTGAGGTTCTCTTTTCGGGGCTTATACTCCAACACCTTTCAGCATTATGACAAGCAATTGTAACAGGCAGATGGGCTGGAACCTCGCAGTATGATAAAAACCTACAAGACACACCCATTAAGAAACATACAGACTCCAGCAAACAAATGTCTAGGGATGGAAAAGAAAATAAATTTTCCAAAATCTCAAGTACGAATTTTTCAACTCCCGCAATCTATACAAACATAGGCTATTAAAGTAGTAAAGTATTGCATCAAAACACTTCTAATTGTCAATTATGTCCACAAAAGAGCAAAGCTACTACCACACACATACTAAATGTGTGACAACATTGGATATTACTTGTTAAACTACTCTTACACAAACAAAGGCTATAGAATTTCCCACCAAGCAGCATCACAAAACAATATTAACATGAAACAGTAAGCAAATGTGTTGGATTTACCATGGTATATCGCTAGTAAAAGTTGCAATGAAAACCCGCAGAAGTCTTTCAACAGGATATAGAAGCTCTGGCAACGAAACAGCAGTATGATGTTCCGAGGAACCATGGCCCATAAATTGTAGCTGGTTCAAATGGAACTTACTTCCTGGTGGCTGAACAAAAGCACCCCTACTCTTGTCGTGCACATCTTTGTCACTTTGAGTAACATGTTTCACATCAAAAGATCCCAAAGATACAGCCTTTGATTTATGATTGGCAATACCAATCTCAGAAGGAACCCCAGCATTGTCGGTCTGCTGTATATGCAAATTGTTGACATTACACCGCTCTGTGACCGGATTTACCTCTGAAGCCGCTGCATTCTTTCTATGAAATAAAACTGAACTCAAACATTTAGTTCCCAGATTCTGAGCAGTGACCATCTCACTGGGCAATAATTCATCCCTACATGCCAGTGCATTGCATGTTAGCTCAGGTGCAGTATGCATTAGAACTTTATCAACATTCCTTGGTGTCAAGCTGGAATTACAATTCACCCTGTTTCTAGAAGTATGCTTAATACTCATTTCCCGGTACACGACGAAGCAATTTCTAATGTACAACATGGGGTCATCACTACTCAAAATCATCCTACATTGAGTTAAAAGGGAGTTGGCCTTTTCAACAATTCCATCACATTCTGCTCTAGCAATAGCATAATCAGAGGACGCACCATTTCCCCTATGCATAAATAGGTTTCTACCAACAACCTCTTCCACAAATACAACTCTTTCGAGAAAAAATCCAATTCGAATGCCAATATTACAAACACCTTCAATTCCGCAAACAAGCGAAACCTCATCGCCGGCACCCAACTCCATGACTTTACCCTTTCCAATTCTGACCCCATTGACAAACACCCCATTCAATGAAGACCTAACCCTAGTAGAACTCCCGCTACGCCTCAAGAAAAAAATTCCATCTGATACATATATTTTTCGATTATCAGCATCGAAGAAAAGTTGAAAATGTTGATTACTGACTCGACGGTCGTCGAATACGAATTCACAGCGGCGACGTTTACGGCCGATTGTGCAGGGTTTATAGGGGATGAGAACAATCAATTCACAAGATGAATTGGTGAGTGTTGAAACTAGAGGGATTTCGAGGGGTTTTATGTGTATAGAGGCTGTGTTGAGAATCGAAAGTCTAGGTTTCTTGCGAGGCAATACAGAAGGATTGAAAAAATGATTGAATCGATTTCGTTTATTGTTTTTCTGATGAATTGAATCTGAACTTTTCATGGCAATTCCATGATAATTCGAACCAATTCACTGAAATTAACAGCGAAAGAATGAAGAAATAATTGAAAAAAGTGATTGAAAAAAAAAATCAATTTAAGAACGAATTGAATGGAAGAATTATCGAAGAAACGTGAAGAGCTTTCTTCGAATTAATTTCACCTGAATATTCCCTCCTATTTCTATTTCTTCTGTATAAATTTTCCCTCCTATTTGATCATGGGCCTCGTGGTGGATACTAACTGGGCCTCCAGCTGTGTGTCGGTGTTGTGGGATACTATTGTAAAACAAGCCCGGTGGTGGGAAAGACATTGCGAAACTATACCTTGTTAGCGCATCATGATTCGAATTTAATTTCAAAAGTTTGATCTAGATTCAATCCAATAATCTGATACATTTTATTTTCGTGACAAATATCCTAATTCATTGACAATCCAAAATCCGATTCAATTTGAATAACTTAATTAAATAAATTTTAACAAAGTATACCTAATTTTTTTTTAAATAATCCCTTATTTTTTTAATATTTATATAAATAAATAAATATATATAATTCGGATCGGGTCATAATGGGTCAAATAAAATTATATCTAAATCTAAATTCGTAAAATATATGATTTCAAATTTGAATTATGATTCAGATTATTGATAAAAAAAATATTAATCCATATCTGACTAATTTGATTTAGATTCAGAACGGATCGGATTATAATTCAATTCATTGACACGCCTATGTGAAACCCTAAACTCCATTTAAAAAAAAAAAATGATCTAATCAATAGGAGTAAAATGAAGTGAAGGTTTCCCTAAGTTATTGATTCCATATTAGTTTAATTTCTATTCGCTCAATTATATTAATTTAGTCCCTATAATTTGTAATTTGCATCTAAATAGTTCAATAGATGACGGATGCTATTGATAACGGTAAATTCTACGTGCATGGTAAAGTACCAAATTATCACTTTGGTACTTCATGTATCAATGCTGTTAAGTGTGGCTCTTAATTTTTAATTTGAATTTAAATGATCGAAAAATGTTCAATGCACCTACTATCGATTGGATCAAAGTGACACAATTGGTGGATATCGCAATGATCAAAAGCGCGCATAGTCAAATGATACGTGATATTTTGCAAATTCCATTGAAACTATGTCATCACTTGAATAATTTAGATGTAAATTAAAAAAAATTAGTAGTAAGACCAAGAGATAAGGCACATTCTTCGGAGTTAAAAGCATATTTAGTTTAGTTATAATTATATTTCAAGTAATATATATACTTCTAATTAATTAGGGATACAATTCTAGTTTTGTATATTATTAAGTTTATGGGTTTGTAATTTGTATAATAGATATACACTAATTATTACCTGTACCGAAAGGTATAGAGGAATAAAAAAAGGGTCAATAATAAATATATTTGTATTCACACCCAAAATCAAATCTTAAATATAGAGGAGAGAAAGAAATTTAAACACCAGTTAAAGTGGGAGTGAGCAGTGATAGTGATGGTGGTGGTAGACGGTGCTAGTTGTGGTGGAGTGGTGACAACTGTGGTGGTAATGGTTATCGTGGGTGGCAATGGTGATGATAATAGTGAGTTTTAGGTGACAATGGTGGTTATGGCAGTCATAAGTGACTGTGGTGGTGGTGGTGGTGGGCAGTGATGATGGTAACGGTGGGCGACCACGGGTGCTTGAACGACAATGTTATGGGTGATGGCGAATGACGATGATGGTAGACATGGTGGGGATGCGTTACAATCGGTGGTGATAATTGTGGGCAATAACAAATAATGGTGGTAAGTGTGGTGAGAGTGGGTAACTATGGACGGAGACAATGGTGGGCGACAACAAGAGGTGGTGGGTTGTGGTAGTGGGTGGAGGTGTACAACAATGATGGTAATAGCTGCTAACAGTAGACGACGATGATAGTGAGACGATGATAATAAGATAAAGATAGTGATTGGTGATGTAGGTAGACAATGGTGGTGGGTGATAACGATGGTAACAATTGGTAGTGGGTGGCAAAGGGTGTGGGTGTGGGTGTGGGTGGGGGTGGCGACGATGGTAGGGGTGGGGGGTGGTGGTGAGATAACAACAATGGTGGTGAGATGTTGACAATGGCAATAATGGTGATGGTGGGGCAATGGTAAGGGTAATAGTTGGACAGTGACGGTGGTAGTAGAGTGGTAAAGCAACGATGGTGGTGGTGAAGTGGCGACGGTAGTGTTGGTAGTGGTGGTGGGTGATGGTGGTGGTGGGGGTGGGGGGGTCATTGTGATTGTGTAGTGGCGGTGGTGTGAGTTGTGGGGATGGTGGTAATACAGTTCCAAACACTACTTTTTAAAAAAAAATATTTAAGAGAAATTATAAATATTAAAAGCACTTTTAAAAAATCACTCAAACATACCCTTAAGGACTTATTTTTTTATTAAATTTAGAGTGTTAATATTAACCGTTAAATTAATTTTAAAGTATAATTTAAAAAGATCTCTATCGTGAAAAACAAAAATTATTTTGTTTATATTTTAAGATTTAAATTATATTGTACTTTATTATATAGATTTATATAATGTGTCAATATATTTTAAAAAACATCCATTCATTGTCAAAGACCTCTAGGATTAGGGAAAAATTGAAGAAATAAATGATGTAATACTATTAAGTAAATAAATTTCAATCTTGACTAAATTGTAATTCATTCAAATCGAAAACGAGTTTTAAAATTTTAGTCCTAAAATTAAGAACTTGTCTTAGATCGAAAGAGGAGTGAAAGAGCTTGACTAAAATTTTACTTTGTCAACAACACCAAGTTTTTTTTTGCTACAAAGTGTTTAGATTTACACCGACTATTCTCTTGAATTCAGTGACTAACAGACCGAACATAGAAAATAATTAAACCTCACTATAAACTCATTGAATACATCAGTATAGTGCGCGTGTGGCCCAAAACATCTAAGGGCATCACAGACCTATTGTCTCAAACTTCCATGATCTAAAAGTCAACATTAAAGAATCAAAAAGCAATATCACTTTATTATGAACGCTTAATTATCTTTGTGATAACTTTTCTGACACCTCTAACTTCAAATTCCAAAAGTCTAAAGAATCGTTAAGTCATGCATTCACGATTCATATTTGTACAGAAAATCAAAATCAAACGAATATTTTATCCTTCCGTTTTACACGAGATTTTTGTTCTCTTTGACCTCATCTTAAGACCTTTAAATTACCAAAGGTTAAAGCTCAATCCCTAAACCATGATAAAGGTTAAAGCTCAATCCCTAAACCATGATAAAGGTTAAAGCTCAATCCCTAAACCATGATAAAGGTTAACACCACAAAATTAATAACACATCATCCTAGTTTTTTATTACTCCAAAATGATAGGCTCCAAGTGTATCAGTGGGAAGCCTCAGCCTTCATTATTGAAGAAAAAAGGTGACAGGACTCACAAAAGCTGGAAAACAAACCAAGAACAAAACAATAAAAGAAAGCAGAACGTAACCGCCCCCCCCCAACACACATCATGGTTCTAAGTTGCTGTCATCATCGCAACTTCATCATTGCAATTTCATCATCTCCATTGGAGTAAAGCCATTGATCCCAATTTTATTTTTTTTACCAGAAAGCAACCACATGATTCACATTATCTGAGATGATAGTGTGAATCTCATACTGATGGAGCCCATATTGCTTTTTCGTAAAAACTTTGTGGTCCATAGCTTTACTCCATTCAATTCCTTCCTTACATGTCTGCATATTTACACACATATACATATATATATAGAGAGTGTAATATGCAGATACCTTTATAGTTGGTTCGCCTTTTCTTATCTTCAAGACTTTATACACTTAAATGAGTTAGCTAGATTGAACCTTGAAGCATATCCATCTGCAAATACAGCTAAAGTCTCGTTAAGTACCTGAGTGAAATATTTGCATAAGCCCAAATGCAAGACCCTGAAAACAATCACCACCACCACGATGATCAGTCCAACACTGAGGCCCTTAGAAATGATGGAACAACAAACAGTGGTTCGTTGAGCGAACCTCAGAACAAGAAAGGAGGCCAAAATATGACCGATTATAACAGCAGTGGAAGTGATGAAAGTGTCGAGTTAAACAAAGATACTAGCTTTGTTCATGATGACTCTGGCGTTGTACACGGCGTCAAAACTGCCGGTGGAGCTGACGAGGAAGACCCCGAGCTGAGGTTGCCGGCTAAAGTTCTTGAGGAGAAATCTTCCTTTAGTTCTTCGGTGGTAGGGAAGGCTCTTTCATCAAAGATGAGGCAAGTGTCCCTGAAGCTCAAGCGTTTCTCAAGACGACCATTCAAGGAGCTCAAGTTCATCAGCAAGATTGATGGTGGTGCTGCTGAATGGGCTGTTGTGGAGAAGAAGTTCAATAAGCTCACTGCCACAACCAATAGCCTCCTTCCTCGTTCACTCTTTTGGGACTGCATAGGTAATGAAACCCAAGAAGTTCCAACTAACAAGAACTGCATGATCTCTGTGGTTTACTCTTTGAAACTTTATTTCTAAGGGAACATCACCAGACACAAAAGTTATTTTTCAATATCATACTAAATTTACTACAAAATAAAGAACAAAGTTACAACTCAATCTAGCGACCCTCGACAACACTTCATAACTGACATCTTCTAACAAAGTTGTAACTAACTTTGCTACAGTACCAAGTTTGATACTATAATCGTTGCCTTAGTTTTACATTCGAGTGTGGTTTGCACGAGCCTGTTTTACAAGATTCTGCACAATTGCAGGAATGAAGGAAGATTCTAAAGAGTTTGCCGGTCAGCTTTTTGATGCACTTGCCCGGGGACGAAATATTACAGGTGATTCAATCACCAAGGCACAGCTCAAAGAGTTTTGGGACCAAATCTCTGATCAGAGTACTTTTGAGTCTCGGCTTCAAACTTTCTTCGACATGTAAGAAAAAAGGAGGTTTGGAAGACAAACCATTCATTTTTGAATCCTTTTTATATAACAAGGTCACAACCAATACCCAAATTCTCGTTCATAACGAAATCTATAGAAGTTAAATTCAAGAATCTGTTTCTCAAAAATTATATTTTAGTTTGAAAAAAACACTTGGAAACGTAATTGATTGTTGAATCTTCTGCAGAGTGGATAAAGATGCAAATGGCAAACTCACGGAAGAAGAAGTTCAAGAGGTACGAGTATATAAACTCAACTCAACAAAACCTTTATCTCAATTATTCAAAATCAGTTACATGAATAATTTTTAGTGCCAAGTTAGTGATTAGTTTAATTTGCAGATCATTAGCCTCAGTGCTTCTACCAACAAGCTGTCCAATATCCAGAAAAAAGCAGACGAATGTGCAGCATTGATCATGGAAGAGTTAGACCCAAACCACCAAGGATATATCATGGTAAACAAAAGCAATTACGTAACACCATGTCCAAGCTATTTAGTACGGCATAACTATAGGTTTCAATTGAGTCGTGTAGTGCCATCTTCCTATCATGTCATTCAAATCACGTCGTACTTCTGTCAACATTCGTATTAATAGAAAAAACCACTAAATTCCAAAATAGTTCATACAGCTTTTCTTACAATATCAACTAAACAAGTTATTTGTGTCTAACACCCACCTAACTCATTTATTATTCGTGTTACTGATCACATGGGTTCAGGTGAAGGATTAAAATTTCGTTTCAGTGCATTGTTTTGGTCACTTAGAAAACAAAAATGTTTCGACGTGTTTCAAAAACGTTTCAACTCATTTCGGAAATAAAATGAAAAAAATAAAATATTTAAGAATTAATTTTTCAAAATATGAGTTGAAATATATCAAAGTATCTTGAAATATCTTGAAACATTCTGAAATAATTGTGCAAATGCATTGAAACATTACAAAATACCTCGAAATATTATAAAACATCTCGAAGTATTAAAATTTCGATTTCATCATTGATTCGTTTCGATCTCCTTGAAAATGGAAACGTTTTGAAACGAAATTTTGAAATTTTGATCCTTGGTTCAAACTAATGGATAAAATTAACACCACTCTTTGGATGATGATTATCAAACAGATTGAAAACTTGCAGATGTGTTTGCTGCAAGCTCCAAGCGAATCAGTAAGAGGAGGGGAAAAACAAAGCCTGAGCAGAGTCGTGGCCCAGGGGCTTAAGCCTGAGCCAGACCATAATGCAATAGGGAGATGCTGTCAAGATTTCAAGTACTTCTTACAGGATAACTGGCAAAGGGCATGGGTGATGACACTATGGATGGGGCTCATGGCTGTTCTATTTGCTTACAAGTATGTGCAATACCGAAACAAGCCTGCATTTGAGGTAATGGGTCACTGTCTTTGCATGGCTAAGGGAGCAGCCGAGACACTCAAGTTGAATATGGCACTGATCTTACTACCTGTCTGCCGGAAAACCATCACTTGGCTTAGAAACAAAACCAGATTGGGTGTTGCTGTTCCATTCGATGACAACCTCAATTTCCACCAAGTAAGTATCTCGTATACTGTTTGATAACGTTTTTTCTACTTACTTTTATGCAAGCAAACAAATACTTCTGGGCAAAAACAAAAGGATTTGCAAATGTTATGTGAAGAGATTTTTTCTCTCATATTGAAGGATTGGAAAGTGGAGACAACTAAGGTTGGTTTCTATGTTAAAGGGTCACTCCACCTAACTTGGTTTTTGGTTGAATGTTCTAAAATAGTATCAGCACTGAACTTTGGTTGTTTGGTGAGCCAAGACTTTCACGCATTTGAATTCTCTGTTTGATTCAGTTGCAATATGTCGGTCTGTCTGTTTCAGTTCTGTTTGTTAGCTCAGGTCGCACAGTAGGGGTAGAGTGGAGATCCTATATCTCACGTCTTATTCGCTTTATCTAAGCTTAATTGCATGTACAACATATGTATGACTGCATTACTTATTTATCAAAATATCTATAGTAATTAAATATCTTTTTGTTTATTTGCGTAAACCAAAGTACTTACAAAAGACATTACCAACCAATGCATTAGCTTTTTTCTGTTGACATGTTCAGATTAGTATGTTGTGAGCAAATATATAAAAGAATAGTGGTTTCTCCATTAGGTAGTTGCAGTGGCAATTGCAATTGGGGTTTGGATACACTCGATTTTTCACTTAGCGTGTGATTTTCCTAAGCTTCTTAATGCAAGCCCTGAAAAGTATAAGCCAATGGAGAAGTATTTGGGGAAACAACCTACGAGCTACTGGCACTTTGTCATGGGAGTGGAAGGAGTGACAGGCATTTTAATGGTGGTTCTAATGGCTATAGCCTTCACACTAGCAATCCCATGGTTGAGGCGAAGCAATGAAAACTTACCCAAATTCCTCAAGCAGCTCACTGGATTCAATGCCTTCTGGTATTCCCACCACCTCTTATTCATCGTGTATGCTCTTCTCATAGTTCATGGTATCAAGCTTTACCTGACCCACCAATGGTGCCAGAAAACGGTTAGTTCCTTTGTCATACAATTTTCATAAGAGGAAAAGATTTGTTGTATCAAAGATTATTTTTTTGGTAGCATACCAAAGTTCTGACTCAATTGAGCAAAGTTACGACTCAACCAGGTGAGTTTACCTTACTACAACATAAAATTGGTCGAAATCCGTAAATTGAATCATATCGAGGTGAAATTTTGATATAGTACCAAACTCCACACCTGCATCAAAAGTTATGATTTAATTGGATGAGATTACCACAAAATGAGATGGTTTAAGATGAAACTTAAAACAGTAGAAACAATCCTAAAATATTAGGATTGATCCTAACTTTTAGCATGTTTGACGGTAACTAAGCCCAATTGAGCCGATAATTTTAAATAGTAACAAACTTAATATGCCCTTCGTGGGAAATCACATGTATAATGGTCGCACCACCTTTTGGCTCTGGCAGACCTGGATGTACTTGGCAGTTCCAATCACGCTTTATGCTGTCGAAAGATTGATCAGAGCATTCAGGTCCAGCATCGAGCCTGTTAAGATAGAAAAGGTAAATTGAAGTTTAACAGTCTCTTCCAAATGCATACATAAATGGTGGATAAAGCTATGAATTTCTCATTTCTCTCACCAAGTAAAATGATTTAGCATTGATATTTGATTTGAAGGCTGTTGATTATGAAGGAAAGCTGCTGGTGCTTCACATGTCAAAGCCGCAGGCCTTCGAATACAAGAGTGGGCAATATATGTTTGTCAAGTGTGCTGCTGTTTCGCCATTTGAATGGTAGGTTGGTTCCCCTGCTGATTAGCATTTGAGGTAAACCTAGACTAACAAAAAAAACCATATGCTGTAACGTTCACATGATGCTAGTGACTAAGCAATGTGATGAAATTGTCTAAGCAATATTCCAATTGAATACTAATTTTTGGGTCAAAGTTTTGGAACTCACTTTCAGATCACAAATTTCAAAAAAAAAATTAATGATTGCCACATCATTTGATAACATTTGTTCAGTATCACATTTATGCTACATTGACGTTATTACACGTCATTAACTCAAACTTGGCTTTCTTTGAAACCATATCTCAAAAAACTGCATTTTTTTAGCAAGTTGTCTAACCATAAGCACGGTTTGATATCGAATTTCAGTACACTTATTCCTCATACGAATAGTCTAAATTCATGGTTGTGCATTAAATATATAGTTTGTTCAATTTTTATCTTTAATCTTCTTGTTTGCCTTGCTAACATATGGTGGTTCACAACTAAAAAGGCACCCATTTTCCATTACTTCGGCCCCTGGAGATGACTGCCTGAGTGTTCATATTAGAATTGTCGGTGATTGGACAAGGCAACTCAGAAAAGTTTTCTCTAAGGTGCGTCTCATTTTGTGACATTGCTAGTCCAATGTAGCTTTTCAAGAAGAAAAAGGTTCCATATCTACCAATGGAAAAATTTACAAAGCATGTGTTGGTTCGGGCATAATATAAATTGAAATTGGGCAATTAATTTTAACCTTATTCAAAACTGTGGCAATAATTGATCTACCACTTCATCTTATCCCAGCTATATTGTGTTTGGATCAAAGTTTAAATGTCATATTCGGATGTAAGATTAATGTACAGTATTAAGCTGAAAAAGATGAAAGCACCTACATCATGGCATGACTCTAACCTATCAGCATACTCTAATCATTTTCAATGCTAATATCAATAAGGATTCATTTAATATCACCTACTATATGGTAAATAAGTATATAATGTTAAATGACAAAATAGAATCAAGCCAACCTTGGTATTAAATGATCACCGCACCAATCTAGTCCAATTCCATTCTCATGCCCAAACCAATTAGACCTTAAGAGTACATGCCTATGACATTTAAATCCAGGTTGCAAACAAGGATGAAAGCAGGGGGAATGAAGGCATGGCTGAGGAGGCGAGGACAGGGACATGTTTGAAATGTCAGAATGGGGGTGGATATAGAAATTTCATGCATCGCACAGTTCTACCAGTGTCATTGTATTTAGCTCTTTTGGGGAATGTGCCTCACAATTATAGTAAGAAGTTTTTGAGGGTGTGATCATACCAACACTAATACACTGGATCCCATCAGAACTCCACATTTAAGCATGTTTGGGTGAGGGTAGTACTAGGATGGGTGATCTCCAGAGATGTCCTCGTGTTGCGCGCCTTTTAATAAAAAAAATAGTAAGAAGTATTGGGTAGATATCCTATTTCAAAATGTTGGCAATTAGGGGCTGCTGGGCAGCAATACGTTTAACTCACATTGACTGGTCCTTATTACTGTGTGTATCAGCCACCACCTGACAGGAGTACTGAACTTCCCAGGCCCGACTGCTTGCAAGAAGAGAATAACCCAATGTAAGTAAGATTTTCTGTTTTCTAAAGTCATTCCATACATTTAGCTACCATCTGACAATGCGTTTATAAATGTTTTTTTTTAATCTTTGGAATCTTTTAAATACTTTTTTTAAGTAGCATTATTTTTTACGTTTTTGCTTTCTAAGCTTTTTCTTTACACAGACTTATCTTCTTCTTCCAATTTTAGTCACTTGTTAATTGTGTACATACATACATCATACATATACAAGTAGATTATTTCTATACGAAGTTGATGACAGTTTCATATTTTTGTGCTTCTTTGCATTTTTTAAATATATGGCAAAAAGTGTCTAAAGAAATTGCTACTAATGATGATGTTGATGGATAGTTATCCAACGGTGTTTATTGATGGCCCATATGGAGCACCAGCACAAGACTACAAGAAATATGAAGTTGTCCTATTGGTGGGGCTAGGAATTGGAACGACACCAATGATCAGCATTGTAAAGGACATTTTAAACAACATGAAGGCCAAGGATGAAGAAGAGAATGCTTTAGAAGATGGGAATGGAATAGCCTGTAGTGGTAGTCCATCCAAACGAAATCCCAGATCGACAAGTGGAAGTAACTTTAGAACAAGGAGAGCATACTTCTATTGGTCTACAAGAGAGCAAAGCTCGTTTGAGTGGTTTGCAGAAGTGATGAATGAGGTTGCTAAATTAGATCACAAGGGAATCATAGAGATGCACAACTACTGCACCAGTGTTTATGAAGTGGGTGATGCTCGTTCGGCCTTCATTGCCATGCTGCAGTCACTCTACTATGCCAAGAATGGTAAAGACATTGTGTCTGGTACCCGTGTCAAGTGTGACTTTGCAAAGCCTAACTGGCACAGTGTCTACAAGTGCATTGCCGGAAAACACACTGATGCCCAAGTTGGTAAGCCCTGCCCCTTTTTCTCAAACTGCTGGTGACTATCAAAATTTCATTTCAGATCATAACTTCCGTTAGCTTGGAAACCAAGACATGTCGAAGACATTGGACTTGTGTTTGTTTCCACACCGAGATAAAAGTTTCTGCCATTTGCATAGAAACGAAACGAAACGAAACAAAATTGTGATCTAACTACTGACATAGCATGTTGAAAGAGAAGCTTAAAAGTCATCACTAACAACAAAAAAGGTCACTTCATCTAGATGATTGTGGGGTTCACATCAAAAGTTACGAACATAGTTGTTGTAGACTTGTAGTGCCTTGTGAATCATGACAGCAATTATATATATACACATACGTACATTGATTACACTCTTCAATTGGAGGTTACCACAATTCACTCAACCCCTGACAACCCACGATTTGGATATATCGATCCAAACAAGATAAGTTCGCGATCCAAATCACCAAAATAGACCCAAATTATAATACTAACCCTAAATCAATTCACTTTAGAACATGTAATACAAATATAAAATACGTATTAATTAACCGCATGCATATGGATTTATAATTATATATTATTTTAAATAATAGAAAATTAAGTACAACTATAAGATAAATAGTAACTAACTTGGTATTTATTGATGTTCTATAATATATAATATTGTATAGTAGTGAAAACGATCTATATAAGAGTTCTAAAACGAATTGCGACCCAAAATACCGTACCAGCTAAGCCTACCTTATCGTACTGCGTACCTAAGAAAGTGTCGTATCGTATACCCATACTCATACCACATCCCAAAGCGATCCACGATGTAGGTAACATTGGAGTACGTCTTTTCACTTTTTTGCAGGTGTTTTTTACTGTGGGCCACCAGCTGTTGCAAAAGAGCTAAGACAGCTGGCTTTGGATTTCTCTCACGAGACCAACACCAAATTTGATTTTCATAAAGAAAACTTTTGACCAAAGCGGATGACAAAGGAGATGTGAAGGCCTCTGGATCAGAATGTTTTTCTCCTGTACACAGATTCTCGCTGGACAAGTTGATTGGATATGCCTGTTGTGTGATGTTTGTAATTTGAATGGTAGGATTGTTGATAGGAGAATGGTGACATATCATGAATAAAGCAGATGGGGTCAAAAGATGGTGGAATTGGTCATGGAAAGGCAATGGTAGGAACGACGAATACCAACAACCAAGCAAAATAATGACCATGCATGATATGTACATGTTTTTGATATGTATGATAATAATGAGAGTAAAAACAGTGTATCTGAACAGTAATGCCTGGTAATATGTGTGAAGTTTGAACACTTGGGTTTTTTCATAGTTTGTATTTTGATAAAATGTACATTTTGTTTCAAAGATTAAGGTATCATCTTCTATTTTTAAGTACTTTTTCTAGATAACATCTGTTTTGTTTTGTTTTTTTCTAGTCCGAACTTGCTTTTCTCCTCCAAAATTATTCATCCGCAGAATAGTAAATGTAAGCATATACATAAATATTGTATTTACGTACAAAAGATGCATGTAGACTGCTTTGCAAAATAGTAGTAGACCATTTTCTTTCCTTTAAAACTACTTTTTTTTTTGGAATTGTCTTTTAACTAATTAAAAGAACATTATTATACAGTACTTTTTAATGAGATATCAGTGCTTGATTTTCTGTGTTACTGGATATCATCAGTGCATTTGCATTATTGCATGCAAAAGCAAAACAAAATCCAACTTCTGGCCCCATACTTGATCTCTATTACTCACCAAATTTCATCAATATTATTAGCATTTTGAAGCATAACGAGGTCTCTGTGTTTTAGTCTCATACCTGAGATTATGAATGCTTTCAAAATCATTATAGTTGAGTTTGTTTGCCATATTGTTGGTGCCTTGATGCCTTCCCACTCCTTCACAACAACTGGACCACCTCCCAAACTCTCAAGGTTGGCTGCATGAAAACAGTTGCCACAAACATGTCCAATACTTTAAACTAGGCAAAATCTTTCTATGATTCCCAAAAAGTATTTAAACAAATCATTTTCCCAAGATTGCAGAAAAGTATTTACAAATTCATGGTGAATAATATGTAGGAGATGTCAATAGAGTGTGTTTAGGCCAAAACTCAGCTACAAACAAGAGCCTGAACCAGCAAACTTCAGAGTGACCTACACCTGCAACCTTCCTCCCCCCACCCCAACACACACAACAAAAAACAAAGAAGGAAAAAAAAGATAGGGGCCCATTTAATAGATAATGAGAACATGTATCAATTGGAATCATACTCAAGTTTAAAATAGACATCGACAGAAACTATTCTTGCTAATGTGGATTTTAAATTCAGAAAATGAACACATCTAGAAAGGAACTCCCCATAAAAAAATAATCACCTACACCACATTTCTTCAGCCTACATTGATTGAAGAGAAAATATCTCTTACCTATTCAATCCCAAAATATGTTCTGTAACTTGTTTCAGTTAAAGTTGTGGATTAAGCATAATTCACCAACATGGCTTGGATCCAACATGGAAGAAGCACAAAACTATTTCTCCAAAAGATTCTATATTTATAACTCTGCTATATCAGTATCAATCTTCGTGTTTTTCTGAATACTGACCAATCCAGTTTGCTTGAGCCATGTGTCATCGTTAATGCTAGTTACCAAGTTATTAACTTCCCAATAAACTTGAGAAAACCTTGTTCCTACTATTTGAAGGTGGTTACAAAAATTCTGTTTCACCATTCTCCTAGGTCATAACTTCAATTAACCAGTTTCTTCTCTAACTCAACCAATTTTAACTTTGGCCTTCCCTCGGACTAGCATTTTCCTCAACGTGCACCATGGATGCATATGAGAGCTGCTGTCAATTTCACTGTAGTTGTTTCATACCTTACAAATGGAATCATATATACATCCCTAGCAACTCGAGTATGTGTCATATAACATGACAACTTGCCAATACAGTTGTAATTGAATTATTATCCAAAAAGATTCCAAAATGGAATATCTTAGTCCAAGATGGAAAAACTGTCAAAGTGCGACTGCTTTCACTAAAGGCCTTCTTTCCACAAATGATATGTCTGGTTCATTTGTCGTATCCAATATCCTGAAGATCCAAAGGAAATTTGGAAGGGAGCTAACAACTCCAAAGAGATGCCATAGTGAAGAATCTTGGTCTAGACGTGAATGTGTCTTTTGAAAGTTTTTTTCCTTTTTCACATGTAGAGCCCACATATCTGATGCTTACTTTCTTCCATATAGTTATTCCGTGTAAGGCACAACAATGCTATGAATGGGAAAACAAAAGCATATACAAAAGAAAGGAACAGACCAACCTTATGGACCTTTTGTGAAAGAGTACCTTTGGGTTCTAACATGAGGACTGCCTTTACCTATCTTTGTTTTCTTTTCAGCCTCTGGAAATTGGGCTTCATTGGCTGGCTTGCCATTATGCCCTGCTCTGAAGCATGAATGGGCCTAAATGGGATCACAGGCTTCTTTTTCTCCATGCTGACACTGCTTGAGAATTGAGATGATGGGTGAATCCAATTTTGCTCTCAGCTGTCTAAGGACCTCCAGCCTCTCGAGTATATGCAAAGTTTTCCCATCCAGTAGCCTATTATTTTCTGCTAGCAATAGGACTGGTTGATCCAATTTCAGTTTCCAAATTCGAGTGGGTGAATGTATCTTTGGGACTTCACCAACAATCAGCTTTTCCCTTTTTCCTGGTATACGTTCAGTAGTTTTGTCCTCTCTATCTTCTGGGATTCCTCTTATATGACTATAGCATATGTTGCCTACTTTGATGATACAGCCTCTTCTGAAGAACCTTGTTCAACTAAGGTCCGTTCCAAGGTCACCTCTTCCAATTAAGGAGGTGTTGCTGTGAGCTATGAAT